TCGGCTGGAGCTGCGATCTGCTCCTTGCACTTGAAGCAGGGCATGGACATAGTGAAGCGTGTGTTTGTGAAGGGCGCGGCGAGTCTCGTAGTGTCATCGCCAGTGGAAGCTGTATGGCACATGACCGTGGTGCTCTCGATAATCTGAAAGCTTCACGCCCACAGGCAAATCCTTTCATGTGTCAAAAGCAACTTCTGAAACAGCCGTTCTACCCGAAAATCCAAACCCCCATAAACCCTCAATAACACTAAACCCTACTTGAGCCTTAAACCCCATGCAGCCCCACCGCCAAAGCTTGTTTGATCTCGCTCTTCTGTTCGAGTACAAGCTGTGAAGACGTGGCCTGTCGATCCTTTAGATCTGAGAAATCAGCGAGAGGCGTCAGAAAAGTTACCCGTGGCATTTTTTTGGGGGGGTGCTTTGCTTCTTGACACCCTTGGGTGGTAGCTGAGCTGCCTTCCTGGGACCTGACTCGGGACGCCTTTGAACTTTGGACCGTGGGACGAATGGGACCTTTCTAGGACCTTCCTGGAACAGCCAAACAGCTTCTGCGCCATATCACTTCACAGCAAACCCAGAACCCAAACCCCAAACCCCCAACCCCAAACCCCAAACCCCAACCCCCAACCCCAACGACATCATCACCAAACTGGAAGCATGATATGCCACATATGCTGATGAAAGCATCAGCCGTCTCACTTATATTGATCGCATTGACTCCAAGTCCGTGTCAACCCCCAACCCCAACCCCTAAACCCCAAACCCCCCAACCCCAAACCCCAAACCCCAAAACCCAAACCCTAAACCCTAACCCCTAACTAACCCCAAACCCCAAACCCTAAACCCTAAACCCTAAACCCCTAACCCCTAACTAACCCCCCCCCCCCAGCCTATCCTATCCGTCGGGTTGCCATGGGCCCGGTGGCGGCTTGGCCGCACGTGGCACAGCAGAAGGGCGGCGCCTGCAGGGTTTGGGGTTTGGGGTTGAGGGTTGAGGGTTGAGGGTTGAGGGTTGAGGGTTGAGGGTAGAGGGTAGAGGGTTTAGGGTTGAGGGTTGAGGGTTTAGGGTTTAGGGTTTAGGGTTTAGGGTTTAGGGTATAGGGTTTAGGGTTTAGGGTCTAGGGCAATCTAGGGTTTGGGATGGCTTAGAATCTTGGCTAAGGGCAGGAGGAGCTGGGCTTTTCATTGGGCGTCGTAATCCCCTTCGACCCTAAGCCCTAAGCCCTAATCCCTAATCCCTAAACCCTGGCAAAACACAAACAGGGGGCCTTCTGGGCCTGTGGAGGAAGTAGGGGCTACCGTAGAAGGGCTTATGACTTAGGGTTTAGTGACGAAGTTATAGTGTGCAGGGTTTCCTGAGGGTCTGCGAGTTGAGGCTTCGTGGTTTGGGGCCTTGGGCGGTTTAGGGTTTGGCGGAGCGTAAGGGGCTAAGGGGGTTTGAGGACTTCAGCTTGCAACCAGGCTCTTTGAACCGAAGCCCGCTCTTCCCAGCAAGAAACCTCAACCTTACACCCTGACCGCCGAAACTGCCCTACCCCAAAACCTCAAAACCCTAAAACCCAAAACCGCAAACCCCCTGCCACAAAGCCCCATACTCCGCAGCAAAAAGCAGCAGGGGCTTCATGTGTAGTAGCTTTGCGGCCCACGTGGCCCCGGCAGGAGGGGCTGGGGCGGATGCCCGAGTACTCGCGCCTGCGACTGCTGATGCGGGTGGGGGGTGGGGGGGCGGTGGGGGAACCCTAAACCCTAAACCCGAAACCCTAAACCCTAAACCCTAAACCCTACAAGCATCACGCGCGAAGCTGTCGGCCTTTGGAGTTCCCAAATCCATGCCTTGGCCTTCATGGGTTTAGGGTGTTGGGTTGTTTAGGATTTAGGGTTTAGGGTCTAGGGTTTAGGGTTTAGGGTTTAGGGTTTAGGGTTGAGGTTTAGAGGGACACACCTGTTCAAACTCATCAGCCCTCAACCCAAATGCTTAAGCCACGGAGACCTTGCCAATGCTGTTCCTGAGCCGCGCCAAACTCTAAACCCTTAGACCCCATAGACCCTGTTAACCCTATAAACTCAGTTAAACCCTAAAAACCCTAAAAACCCTAAACCTTTTTCAACTCTAATCCCTAAACCCTGCAATCCCTATAACCCGTATAAACCCTATAACCCCTATTGTCCCTATAAACCCTATATACCCCATAAACCCTATAAACCCTATAAACCCTATAAACCCCAACACCCCTATAATCCCTGTATACCCTATAAACCCTACAAGCCCTATTAAACCCTAAAAACCCTATAATCCCTATAAACCCTTTCAACCTTATAAAACCCTATGAACCCTACAAAACCCTAAACCCTAAACCCCAAACCCTAAACCCTAAAACCCTAAACCCCAAACCCTAAACCCCAAACCCTAACCCTAAACCCTAAACCCCAAACCCTAACCCTAAGTCGGCCTTGGGCCCAGCCAGTGCCCCGGGCGCGAAGGGCAGCGCAGCCCCGGCAAGCATGTCACGCCGCGGCGTCTTGGAGCGCGATGGCTCCCGGGTTGAAGGTCTCAGGTTTAGGGTTTAGGGTGTAGGGTTTAGGGTTTAGGGTTTAGGGTTTAGGGTTTAGGGTTTAGGGTTTAGGGTTTAGGGTTTAGGGCTTACGCTGATTTTGGGGTTGTCGAAAGTTTTGGGATTTGGGGTTGGGGGTTTAGGGAGGGCTTTAAGGAAGGCTTGCTGGGGTGTAGGACTTATTGGGCATCGGGGTACCGGGGCTTTCGGGGTTTTAGGGATTTTGAGTGCCAGCCGCCCTAGGGGCCTTCTAGCCAGCAAGGCCGAGCGGTTCCATGCGAAGGTCTCCTTACTGCTTCCTTAAACAGGGCTTAGGGTTTAGGGTTTAGGGTTTAGGGTTTAGGGTTTAGGGTTTAGGGTTTAGGGTTTAGGGTTTAGGGTTTAGGGTTTAGGGTTTAGGGTTTACGGCTCCTCTTCTAACCTCATTCTAACCTCCCCAAAAAGAGCCTCAATGTAGAACAACCACCACATGAGAGCCAGGCGTTGCGAGGAGCTTGTAGGGGCTTGCATGGGTATTTCCGAACATGGGGTAACCTCTCCCCCCCTCCCATTTGGGTTTGGGGTTTAGGGTTTAGGGTTGAGGGTTCAGGGCAAGGGCAAAAACCCCACGCATGAAGATCCGGCTATTCGCCCAACATCCCAGACCCGATTAAAACCCTTGAGACCCTACCTAACACTTTACCTCGTGAACCCACACCCTAAACCCTAAACCCTAAACCCTACACCCTAAACCCTAAACCCACCTTGAACCCCGAACCAGAGGTCAAGAGGCGGATGGTTCCCCAAAATGGGTGCCCTGACTTTGGGAACCCCGGGCCCGGCCAGGGCTTTGCGACTTAGGGTTTAGGATTTAGGGTTAGGGTTTAGGGTTTAGGGTTTCGGGTTTAGGGTTTAGGGTTTCGGGTTTAGGGTTTAGGGTTTAGGGTTTAGGGTTTAGGGTTTAGGGTTTAGGGTTTAGGGTTTAGGGTTTAGGGTTTAGGGTTTAGGGTTTAGGGTTTAGGGCCGCTTGGTCCCCTTTTCTCCGGCGCTTGGCCCACAATTGGGGCCAAAAACAGCCTCTTGAGGATTCTGCGGGGAGCCGCGCAGGGGCGAGGTGGGGGCGGGCAAGGAGGAAACGGATGCAACGGAAGCTTAGGGTTCAGGGTTTCGGGCTTCGGGTTTAGGCTTTTGGGTTTCGGGCGTCGGATTTAGGAGTTTTGCAGCCCAAATCATCCTGTTTAGGGTTTCGGGTTTAGGGTTTGATTGGGGTTTAGGGTCTAGGGTCTAGGGTCTAGGGTCTAGGGTTTAGGGTCTAGGGTTTAGGGTTTAGGGTTCAGGGTTTAGGGTTTAGGGTTTAGAAATCCTCAAAATTTTGCTCTCGGCAAAAGCTCCCTACACACCCACTCAATGCTAAATTTGCATGGCGGGAACGTCAACGCTAGGACTACTGTAGAACAGAGCAGAATATAGCAGGAAACAAAGGTGGACACCAGGTAGGAGCAATTACTATGCTGAGATATTCTCAGGGTCCCGTTTTTTCGGGTCAGCAGATTTCAAGGACACAAGGAAGAGCCACAGATGTACCGAGCTCGGAACCATGGTTATGGGCTTTGCGACTTAGGGTTTAGGGTTTAGGGTTTAGGGTTTAGGGTTTAGGGTTTAGGGTTTAGGGTTTCGGGTTTAGGGTTTAGGGTTTAGGGTTTAGGGTTTAGGGTTTAGGGCCAAAGGATTCGAAGCCCCCTGCTTGCGGCCTCCCAACACAGCAAGAGCCGCAGATTCTCGACACCCCGCCCCACCACGCGTCGGACACCACCTGTTCATTGGTTGTCCAACCATGGGAGAGGCATCTTACGACCCCCAAGACCCTCAACCCTAGCACCCCTCAACCCTAAAACCCTCAACCCTCAAACCCTCAAACCCTCAACCCTAAACGTTCATCTTTCGGAGGTTCGGACGACAGGCACATGCCTCTCCCATGCATCGGGTGGGGGCCGGAAGAGGAGTGGGAAAGGCGAGAGCAAAACGCGTGGGCTGGAATCAATGGCACTCTCTGCAGGGTGGGCTCTTCCGGGGGTAGTGTGTGCATATGTATGTATGTATATATATATATATATAATGTATCTACGTAATACATGAGCCATTTAAGTTTCTTTCCTTTTTTGGGGGGGAGGGTGGGGGGGGGAGGGGGGTCCAGGTTGAGAAGTTGCAGGGTTCGGGGAGTTGGGCCTGGCAAAGATCACCTCAGTGGGGAAGCGTCCTCCCTTGGCTGTGCTGACTCGCCTTGGCTGTGCAACGAGAGACGCGGCACGGGGCACCGCCAGTTTTCTCCGAGTGCGGGCTGGCGCAATGCAACCTCGCCCGCACTGGCTCTGTAATCCTTCGGATCGTGCAGAAAAACGCCTTCGGCGTACCTCGCGTGATTCTTCGATTTATTCGGAAGTGAAACAGAGAAGAGCCGGCCGAACAGTCCTATGCTCCGAAAGTCATGCCGGAAGCGCGCCGGTAGATGCGACGGTAGTCCAGCGGAAACAGCGCCTTCATGAACTCTCGTTCATCGATTCCTCCATCTCCATTGGCATCGAAGGCCATGAAGAGTTCGGAGGCCTGGCGGCAGAGGCATTCTTAACACCACGTGAAATCAAGAACTTCACACCGACGACGCCCGACGCTAAAATCCCTAAAGCCCCTAGAAGCCCTAAAACCGCTACAACCCCTGAAGCCCCTAAAATTCCTAAACCCCCCCAAAACCCCATTGCTTCAAGAGCTTCTTGAGGATCCCAATTATTTGGAGTAGGGTACACGACGCCACCCTAAAGTGAAGGGTTTAGGGTTTAGGGTTTAGGGTTTAGGGTTTAGGGTTTAGGGTTTAGGGTTTAGGGTTTAGGGTTTAGGGTTTAGGGTTTAGGGTTTAGGGTTTAGGGTTTAGGGTTTAGGGTTTAGGGTTTAGGGTTTAGGGTTTAGGGTTTAGGGTTTAGGGTTTAGGGTTTAGGGTTTTAAGGTTTAGGGTTTAGGGTGTAGGGTTGAGGGTTTCGGGTGCCCCTAGGCCTCGGAACACCCGAAACCTGTCAAGCCGAAATATGATCACACCATTCTCATGACAGCCCTAAAGTTAAGAGGCTACAGTGCTGCTGCCCAGTTGACAGTGGCAAGTACGTAGGCACTCGCAGCGGTAGTCGGTAGTAGTTGTTGTTGTACTTGCGGGAGTCGGGACCGTCGTTGTGGCAGTTGTGATGCTTGTTGTCGCTTTCTTGCTAGTCGTTGTAGCTCGCGCAGTAGCAAGCGCAAGTGCCGCGCGAATAGTAGCAGGTAGAACCAACCCTAAACCCTAAACCCCAAACCCTAAACCCCCAACCCTAAACCCCAAACCCTAAACCCCAAACCCCAAACCCCAGACCCTAAACCCTAAACCCCAAACCCGAAACCCCAAACCCTTGACCTCAAACCCCAAACCCTTATAAACCCCGAACCCTAAACCCCAAACCCTAAACCCCCAACCCCAAACCCCAAACCCTAAACCCCAAACCCTACACCCCAAACCCTAAACCCCAAACCCAAAACCCTAAAACCCAGTTTCACCGAAGCCTCGGTCGGCTTCACGCCCACCTGGGCACGGTGTGCAACATCCGGCTTTGGGGGCATGGAGGGGGTGGTTTAGGGTTTAGGGTTAAGGGTTTAGGGTTTAGGATTTAGGGTTGGCAGGGTTTTCGGCTTACATACTGTTGGTTAGTAGGGAGCGGGGGAATCAGGTCCCTATACAATATATGCCCTTGAAGGGACTATAAAGGGCACCCATTCCCTACTAAACGGCTTAGGGCACATGGATTCGGGTTTATGGTTTAGGGTGTACGGTTTAAGGTTTTGGGTTTAGGGTACCTTTGTATGAATGGAGCTGCTTTGAAAAAACTTTAGAAGTCAGCCGCCACTAGCATTGAGGTTACAGAGTTAATTTCGGCAAATCGACTAAGTTTAGGGGTCTAGCACTTGATACTTTGGCTACGTGCATGAGAGAGCCTATCACTAAACCCTGAACCCCAAAATACTAAACCCTAAACCCTAAACGCCGGGCTTCTGGGGTTTCTGCATGCGGCTTGTCGGGTTTATGGGGGAGGGGTTTATCAAGTTTATGGGTTTGATAAGGTGGGTTGGGGGGAGGGGGGGAGGTGGTTGGATTTGTTGCTCCTTGGTAACAATCTGCAGCGCGCTCCTCTGCTGAAGGCTCGGGGCCCTAAACCCTAAACCCTAAACCCTAGACCCTAAACCCCAAACCCTAAACCCTAAACCCTCAACCCTAAACCCTAATCCCTAAACCCTAAACCCTCAACCCTAAGTGTCTCTTGCTCACAAAGAAACCTGAAGGGCCCTATTGAGTCAAGCCGTTCACTTCCTAATCCGCATGCAACACCCGAAACATTAATTCTATGATCTGAATACACACTTACACACCCAAGAACAACAATGAACAAAATGAACATATGAAGAATAAGAAAATCAAAGTACAATAGCTGTAAAAAAGAATGTGTGTATATATATATACTAAGAAATAAACAACAAATATGATACTAAGAAATAAACAACAAATATTGATCATGAGCCCAAAACCCTAAAACCCAGAAGAAACTCTGCATTGAACCTCGAAGAAGTCTCTGGGGCGCCGCACTCGCATGGTGGCAACCATGTCCTGATTCCCAGGATAATTCCGTAGGATGTCGGGATGAATCTACTCTGACGGGATCAACCCTAAGCCCTAAACCCTAAACGCTACACCCTAAACCCTAAACCCTTTACCCCCTGAACCCTGAACCTAAAGCCTATAAACCCGAAAACCCGAAGTTAAGGTGCAGAGCATTTAGGTTCTAGTGGTTTCGGCTGCAATACCGGGGCCTTAAAAATCAACATTGAGTGTTTGGGGGGGGGGGGCTTATTTAAGCATACTAACATGGGGACCATAAGGGAATACTAGTAGCATCGTAAACCCTAAACCCTAAACCCTAAGCCCTAAGCCCTAAACCCTAAACCCTAAACCCTAAACCCTAAAACCCTAAAACCCTAAAACCGCACACATCACGCCAGGGTGCGCAGAACTCTTCCATCTCGAGTTCGCCGTTGCCGTCCCGGTCGAACTTCTTGAAGAGCTTCGGCATGTCGTCTGGGCATTCTTGGGAGGTTTAGAGTTTAGGGTTTAGGGTTTAGGGTTTAGGGCTTAGGGCTTAGGGCTTACGGCTTAGGGCTTAGGGCTTAGGGCTTAGGGCTTAGGGCTTAGGGCTTAGGGCTTAGGGCTTAGGGTTTAGAGGGTTAGCACAAGCAAAGGAGACTTGCAGCTCCGGCAGCTTGAGCCTATGGCGCGCGATCGGCCCACCGCGAACATGGGGGTTTAGGGTTTGGGGTTTAGGGTTTAAGGGTTTAAGGGTTTAAGGTTTTAAGGGTTTACGGGTTTAAGGGTTTAAGGGTTTAAGGGTTTAAGGGTTTAAGGGTTTAAGGGTTTAAGGGTTTAAGGGTTTAAGGGTTTAAGGGTTTAAGGGTTTAAGGGTTTAAGAAGGGTTAAGAAGGGTTTAAGGGTTTAAGGGTTTAAGGGTTTAAGGGTTTAAGGGTACGGAGAGGGAAACCCACTGCGCCTGCGGAGTAGCCCAAGTGCTTCAGGCGTCGTCGCGTCTGCGTCATCCTTGCCCATGTGAACATGGTGCTGGAACCAACGTGGGATGCCCTAAAAAAACGTCAACCCTGAACAATAAAACCCTGAACTCTGAACCCAAAACCCCAAATCGACCCGCCTTAACAGCAGCAAGGCTAAACATGGTTCGGCAGACACCGTGTGGGGTTTGAACCCAAGCCAAGCAGCAAGAGAATTCGATGTCGGTCGTCCCAGGTCTTCGACATGGCGTTGCCCAGCACCTGAGCTTGACAAACCTCCAAGAAAGCCCAGTGACACCCCGGATTGGGCTAGTACAAAACATGTACATACGTATATGTGTGCATATACAGAAATTTCTGTGTATATATATATATATATACATATACATATATATATGCTACCATATATATATATATATATATATATGGTACCCCCCCCCCCAGTGACCTACCTTTTTTCGCCTTGTCTTAAGTCATCCAGCTGCAATGCAAGCAAACTCGGTGAGCAACATAGCGTGTTTCTTAGGGCGTAGACTAAAATGAAACTAAAATCCGAATACACGGGCAATTAAAAAACCCAAAACACCAAACCAAAAAAAAAAAAAAAAACCAAAAAAACCAAAAAAAAACAATTTTCCGGAACTCTCAGGAATCCCTACGAGGCTTCTCCAAGGTTTTTTTGGTTTTGGTTTTTTTGGTTTTTTTGGTTTTGGTATTTTGGTTTTTTGGTTCGCCTTTACGTGGCAATAACTACGCATTTTTAAGTGTGTTTTTGTACTTGCGAATTTGCTTGTGCATGGCCTTCACTAAGTACTTTTCTAAGTACTTTTCTAGGAAGATTGTGCATTTTTTAAAGCTTGCTTCTGCAAATTGTGCCTTTCGGACATAGTATATAAGTGGTCTTAATGAAATACTTCAGAAACAAAGATTTCATTGCTATGCAAGTAGAATCGCTTCTATTGCTGTTAGTGTTTATTTCGTATTTTGGTTGAGTATGGTCCTTTAAATAGTAGTCACTTGAGTCAAATTGGGCGCTATTTCATGAATATGTAAACATAAGATATTTCAGTGGACTTTTCAGATAGTATTTGATGAATACTTTGACTAGCACACATTCTATTTATGTACAAAGCAGTATTCTTGTGCATGGCCTTTACTAACTATATTTCTAGGAAGGTATATAAGAGGTCTTTATTTAGTACTCGAGAAGTCTTTTGCATTGTTACGTAAGTAGAACCGCTTCTATTTCCATTAGTGTTTATTGCAAATTTTAGTTGGGTATGGTATTTTGAATAGTGTTCTATTTCCATTCGTTGTTATTTCACATTTTGGTTGGGTCTGGTATTTTAAATAGTGTTCATTTGAGTCAGATTGGGCTATTTACTTAGTACTTACTCTAGTAGATAAATCGCATAGAATGATGATTTCAAAACAAGAAATATTTCATGAATATGTAAAACATAAGTTATTACAGTGTACTTTTCAGATGGTATTTGGTTTATACTTTGCCTAGTACAAATTCTTTTTTATGTACGAGCAGTATTCTTGTGCTATGGCCTTTACTAACTACTTTTCTAGGAAGGTATATAAGTGGTCTTTATTTAGTACTTGAGAAGTCTTTTACATTGTTATTTAAGTAGAATCGCTTCCGTTGCCGTTCGTGTTTATTTCATATTTAGTTGAGTATGGTATTGTGAATAGTATTCACTTGAGTCAGATTGGGCTATGTACTTAATACTCCAGGAGTTAAATTCGCATACAATAATAAGCACAATGTTTCATGAATATGTAAACATAAGGTATTTCAGTGGACTTGTCAGATAGTATTTGATTAATTCTTTGCCTAGTACAAACACAATTGTAAATACAAAAAATTTATTAGTTGCCCAACAAAACATTATTTGCCAGTTAAACGCGCAACTTCGCACAATTTGCCTAGAAAAACCAAAGATCTAAAAACCTCATTGTCCGCTTCAGATTCAAAATATAGATTAATCCAATGCTGGCTTATCGGGGCCTGCGAGGTGGGTGTCCCAATAGATGTCCTTCATTACCCGGCGATGAACGACGCGACTTTCGGGCCTTCGTTGTTTTTTTGTAAAAAAGGCCTAAAAAGGGTAGGTCGCTGGGGGGGTGTAGCATATATATATATATATATATATACATATATATATATAGACACATATAAGATAAACATATATATATATATATTCCAGAACCTACCGTTTCCTAGTTTTCGGCGCTTGTGTGAAAGCACGATGCCAGAATCCTCGGAGTGAAATCCCAGCACCTACGCAAAAGATCCCAAGGGCCAGTAAAACATCTCATCCTTCAACCGACTTGATACTGGGATCTGAGAAAACCGAGGCCGAGTAACCCCCGCCACGCCTTAGGACACGCACCCAGTAGCATGAACGATTACACCCCATTTAAGATCAAAGAAAAAGATCCACTACCTGAAACACCCCAAGCGAATTGAAGAGGCTCGTGAGTAAGCGGAAGGGCTTCATCGGGTCTCCCCTAAATCCCGCATTACCTCCTCATCTTACTTCCTTGAACTCAAGGTGCTATAAAGAAAGAAAGAAGTATCAATCAACCCGCTGGGACAAAGAAAACAAATCACAAACGAAAAAACGAAATACGCAGTGCCAGAACAAGAAAAACACAAAACAAGCAGAAAAGGTGTGGATAACTGGGGGGGGGGGTCTCATATATACATATATATGTCATACATATACATACATATATTTGTGTATATGAATACATGGCATAGATTCATATTTCATTTCATTTCTTCCGACTCGCAACGCGTAAGCAGAATCCGCGGCTGCTTGCAGATGTTAAAATCGTATTTTCGCAGCACTTTCGAACTTTGCTGCATCCGTTCTGGTCAGACGCGGGCAGTAGTGTCTTGTTTGCTGGAAAACTCTACGAAGGGACTGGGCTGACCAAATGTGAGCTGGCACCAAGATGAATGTGTGAGCTGAACAGAAAAAACGAACATGCACAGGATGTATACACATTGGTCTGCAGAAGCTTCTCCGACGATTGTGACGCTGTGTGCCATGAAGTTATTGCGTCCATCTCTTGCACATGCATCGGCCTGTCACGTACGTCTGACGATGTCTGACGGCAGGTAGGAGCGTCTCAAAAAGTCGGTGGATAACGCTTCGATGGTGGGTTTTCCAGATCGGAAACGCCTTTCAGGCTGTCTGACGATCTTGCATGGAAAACAGAAAAATGAAGCTTCAAACATCTAGCTTGCGCTGGCTTGCCCCTGACTGTGCACGCAGGGTCTGCATCGCCTCACGGATACGCATCTTGGCGCCCTCCGTGCACTTCCGTGCAGCCAGGCTCGCCAAGGTGCTGAAGCTCGCCGCACGCAGGCAGCGCGACATCCCATGTGGTGGCCCACGTGGAGTGGTTTCTGCTGGCATCGTCTCAGAACTCTCCGAGGGCATCTCCTCTTGCAAGATGCCGAAGAGAACCTCCGTGCCATGAAGCTCCATGGTGCGGGCCTTGTCCTCGAGCAGCTGGAGGGCCAAGCGGAGGAAGTCGGCCTTGGGCATCTCTTCGAGGATGTGGCGCTGCCGCTTGTCCATGACCGGGACGTGGCGGTGAGGATGGTGACAGTAGTTGCAGGCATCGCCCGCTTCGCACTGCCGCCCGGCCGCGACGTGCACGCACGGGCGCTGGCAGAGCTCCGGATGCCCAAGGCTCCCAGCACTGACCAAGATTTGAGGCCTTCCAGGTTCCTCCTCTGCTTCGTCCTGAGCCTGCAACCCCACGGACATCGCCGCTGCTGCCGGCGCCTGCGTTTCGGGCACCGCTTGGCTCACTGCTACCGTCGGCAGCGGCAGAGAGTGCACGTAGCTCCTCACGGCGGCCTCCTCCAAACTCGTCTTCCAACACCCTTGCGGCGACTCCAAGGAAAGAAGGGGAGGGGCGCTGCGAGCACGGTCGGCACGAAGGTCCTTGCCCCGCTCTTCGTCCTCCAAGAGCACGTCAAGGAAGGTAAAGCGATACTCGACCTGCGCCATCGCACCTACATGGGCCTACATGAGCTTGGAGCCTGCGCTGCATCCTCGCAAAGGGCCAGGCTCCGAAGCCCCGAAACCTAGAAGGCCCACAGCTGCCACCACCGACTTGGGACGCTGAGGGCTTGGGTTCATGAAGGAACGCGAGGATCATTTCGGGCTGATGCAGGACCTCCACGAAACATTCTAACCGCCCCCGAGCCCTGTCCCCGAAGCCTCGACCGATCCTTGAAGAATGCCTCTGGCCAAACAACAACGGACTTCTTCGGGCGTGTGGCCCTATAGCACCATAGAGGACAATAGAGAGCATGAGCCCAAGAATACACAAGTGCGAGAAGGCACCGATAGCGGCATCGCCATGAAGAGCACGCTGATGAGGCATAAGATCCCGGCCATGACCTGCCCCAGGATCCCAGACTGTCGCAGGCCTTGAAACCGAAGATGCAAGCCCGGAATGAAGAGAACCATAAAGCTTTGAGCAGTGCACAACCACCCTAAACCCTAAACCCTAAACCCTAAACCCTAAACCCTAAACCCTAAACCCTAAACCCTAAACCCTAAACCCTAAACCCTAAACCTAAAGCCTAAACCCTAAACCCTAAACCCTAAACCCTAAACCTTATTGTAAGGCCACAGCAACCCTTGGGGATGCACCTGCCTGCAACTGTGCTGTGAAAGAGTCTCTGTTCCCAGAGAAGGGTCGTGCAGACCCTACGTCAGACGAGCACCCTAAACCCTAAACCCTAAACCCTAAACCCTAAACCCTAAACCCTAAACCCTAAACCCTAAACCCTTCGCAGTAGCCAAGATCTAACCGGCTCGCAAATTTGCTCGGGTTTACATTCGTGTGTGATCATGTGGAGCTCACACCCTACCCCTGTCAACCCAAACACACCCCAAGAAACCCTAGAAACTGCAGTAAACCCCAATAGACTCGCCTCTAGACTGAAGACAGCTACACACCAATGCCGGTGTCAACTTCGGGTATGGGGTTTGGGGTTTGGGGTTTGGGGTTTCGGGTTTAGCGTTTTGGGTTTTGGGGTTTGGGGTTGGGGGTTGGGGGTTTGGGGTTGGGGTTTGGGGGGTTTAAAGGCGTGGCCCTGGTGCAGAACCACAAGGAGAATAGCCAGGAAAACCCCTAAACCAACCCCCTTGAGAACAACGGTGTCCCGAGTCCCTGTGACTATTTCGTGTAGGGCTAAACCCTAAACCCTAAACACTAAACCCTAAACCCTAAATCCTAAGCCCTAAACCCCCTGATGTGGGCCCTTTTGGTTTAGGGTTGCAGGTCCAAGGTTTCAGGGCAACTCCCACTCCCACCCCTATAAACCCGACGGCCAGAACTCGAAGTGAACCCCAAACCCTAAACCCTAAACCCCAAACCCTAAACCCCAAACCCTAAACCCTAAACCCCAAACCCTAAACCCTAAACCCTAAACCCCAAACCCTAAACCCTAAACCCTAAACCCTAAACCCCAAACCCCAAACCCTAAACCCTAAACCCCAAACCCCAAACCCTAAACCCTAAACCCTAAACCAGACAAATCAATGCGGCCTTCCCTCCCCATGTCACGGGGGCCATGTCACCTGAAAGGCGGCCCGGCAGGCTTCTTCGGGTTGGGTGTGAACTTCTAAACCCCAAGAACCCCAAAAGCCGTAAGAACCCTAAAACCCTATAAACCCTAAACCCCCCCAAACAACCCAAACATATGCTTAAACCCTAAGAAACAGAAACAAAGACCCTTATAGGGTGTAGGGTTTAGGGTTTCAGGACATTTCGGAGATTACCACCCCACCCCACCCTCCCCCCCTTCAGGAAGATCCCTAAACCCAGAAACCCTAAACCCCGAAACCCCGAAACCCTAAAACCCCGAAACCCCTAAACCCTAAACCCTGGGAACAAGTGCCCCCTAAACTTCTCGGGTGGGCTTTCGGAAGATGGGTCGGAGGGTTTGGGGTTTGGAGGTGGGCTTCTGGATGGCTTTAGGACTTTAGGGCTTAGGTTTTAGGACTTAGGACTTAGGACTCAGGACTTTGGACTTAGGGGTTTTCGAGGCACCCACAAGCGGGCAAGCAAAGCTTCACACGAGCCTGAATGCAATCTGGCTCAGCAACCCCACTACCCCCAGAACCCTACAGAGTCCCTAAACCCCAAACCCCAAAACCCAAAACCCAAAACCCGAAACCCGAAACCCTAAACCCCACCAGCTGGTAAGACACCCTCACACCCTAAACCCTAAACCCTAAACCCTAAAGTCTTAGAACACGAAATAGCTGGGTCCGCCCCGCAGAACCCAGGCATGGCATCAGCGGGGCTGAACGTACAGGGATTCAAGGAGTTAGGGTTCTAGGGTTTAGGGTTTAGGGTTTAGGGTTTAGGGTTTAGGGTTTAGGGTTTAGGGTTTAGGGTTTAGGGTTTAGGGTTTAGGGTTTAGGGTTTAGGGTTAGGGTTTAGTCTTTGGGGTTTTAGGTCTCTCGGGCTTTAGGGTTTAGGGTTTAGGGCTTAGGGTTTTAGGGCCACAGGGTTCTAGGGCCCTAAACCCTAAACCCTGAACCCTAAACCCTAAACCCTAAACTTTTTAGTTGCAAGCCAGGCACAGGTGCCCACGGTGGTGACCGTCACTGTGCACCAGTAGATGTACGTCGGCAGCGTGGTTGAATCCGAGGGCTCGATCATGTAGAGCATCGTGCCGAAGAACAGGACCTTCCCAAACAAGGGGCTCCAGGGTAAGCCCTCAAGCCCGAAGCCCTAAGCCCTCAGCCTTAAGCCTTAAGCCCTAAGCCCTAAGCCCTAAGCCGGAAGTCCTAAGCCCTAAGCCCGAAGCCCTAAGCCCCTAAGCCCCTAAGCCCTAAGCCCTAAGCCCTAAGCAGTAAACCCTCTCTAACCTATGTACATTTAATGGCTGATGCCTTCGTAGTGGAGCATCATTTTTTATGGTCAAGCACCAACATTTGGTGGATAAGCACCAACAGTTCGTGGACAAGCACCAATAAAATGGCACCAACAAGTCGCGGACAAGCACCAACAATTCGTGGACAAGCACCAACAATTCGGGTTAGAACGAGAAGTAAAACATTTTCATAATGTTTGTGGGATCCAATGGGTGGCTGGGTCGATCATTATTCGATACCGGAGAAAGGAACCCTCTTGGTGAATGCTTGCACTTGAGATGCTGAACCCGAAACGGTAAACCGCGACTTTGGGGGGTTACTCAGGACTTGAAGGGTGTAGGGCGCAGGGTCCAGGGTGCCCTAAACCCTAAACCCTAAACCCTAAACCCGAAACCCGAAACCCGAAACCCTAAACCCTAGCCCCCCAAGAGCCCGGCCTGACCTTCGCAGGTTCTACAAGTTCCGGGCTTTAGGCTTTTGAGTCTGTGGGGCTGCGGGCAATTAGGGGGTTTGCTGGGTTTGGGTTTAGGGTTAGGGTTTAGGGTTTAGGGTTTAGGGTTGAGGGTTTAGGGTTTAGGGTGTAGTGTTTTGCTGTAGTATGGCACAGATGCTGCGAAGGTTTAGGAAGCAGAAGAGAGGCTCGAAGGAGTCGTCAGGTGCGAAGAGCAGCTCTCTCCCGATTGTGCAGGGCCATCGACCACCTTTCTACCTACGTATTCCTTGTCGGGTTGAGGCCTAAACTCAAGTCAACTGCCTACTTCCAAAAAAACTCTTCCACTACCCCGGCCAGTTTAAGGTCGAACGGGCAAAACCGTGGGTGCTACCGACCTCCGTGCTGTGGGAGGTGCGCGAACGACCTGGTTCGGCTTTGCGCCATCGAAATCAAGCCGGCCCCGTCTGTAGGGGAGCGGCGGGTTAGAGTTTTGCGGCTCAGGGGGCTTAAGGGTTTTGGGGGATTTGGGGCTCGAGGAGTTGTAGCTGCCAGGGCTCAATCAAGCAAACCAGGAAGAGGAGGAGCTTGAGGGCGTCCAGTGTGGTAGACAACACATGCCTGCGAGTTTGGGGGCTTGGGGGCTTTAGGGTTCAGGGTTGAGGGTTGAGGGTTGAGGGTTGAGGGTTGAGGGTTGAGGGTTGAGGGTTGAGGGTTGAGGGTTGAGGGCTGGGAAGTGGAGGAGTTTAAGAGGTTTTTGCTGGAGCCTTTGGTAGCGTAGGGCTTGGGGACTGGACTTGAGGATCCAAAGCGTTGCGGGAGCTTAAGAGTTCAAGCCGAAGACCCTGAACCCTAAACCCAAAGCCTTTAACCTCGAACCATGAACTCAGCAATCAGAGCCCCGTTACCCTCAACGCAACACCCTAAACCCCATATCCTTAAACCCTTGAACCCTGAAACCCTTGAACCCTTAAACCCTCAAACCCTTGAACCCTTCGACCCTCAATTCCTAAAACCCTAAACGCTTGAAGCCCTAAACCCTCAAACCCTTAAACCCATTTAAGACACATGTAAACCCATTTACACCCTTGAACCCAAAGCCCCCGCCAAATGCGGTCTTGTCGCAGCAGAAGCTGCAGCTTCTGAAACCGCCGAATGAGCTTCAGCTGCCGGACGACCTTGAACAAGTGGATTGGGGGAGGGGGGGGGGGGGGGGGGGGGGGGGGGGGGGGGGGGGGGCGGGGGCGAGTAGTGTTTGGGGTGTAGGTGTAGGCTTTAGGGTTTAGGGTTTGGTTTAGGACGACCTTGAACAAGTGATAGGGGGGGGGGGGGGGGGGGGGGGGGGGGGGGAGGGCTCAGGGTTCAGGATTTTTGGGTTTATAGGGTTTATAGGGTTAATAGGGTTTAATAGGGTTCAATAGGGTTTATTGGGTTTGTAGGGTTTATTGGGTTTATAGGGTTTATAGGGTTTATAGGGTTTATAGGGTTTATGGGGTTTACAGGGTTTATAGGGTGTATAGGGTTTATAGGGTTTATAGGGTTTATAGGGTTTATAGGGTTTGTAGGGTTTATAGGGTTTGTAGGGTTTATAGGGTTTATAGGGTTTATAGGGTTTGTAGGGTTTGTAGGGTTTATAGTTTAGCGTTGTGGGTAAGGTTTTGGGTGTAAAGCTTAGAATTAAGGTTTAGGGTTTAGGCCAAGCTAAGGGTTTAGGGTATATTGTAAGGTTTAGGGTTTAGGGTTTAGGGTTTAGGGTTTAGGGTTTAGGGTTTAGGGTTTAGGGTTTAGGGTTTAGGGTTTAGGGTTTAGGGTTTAGGGTTTTGGGTTTAGGGGTTTGGGTTTAGGGTTTAGGGTTTAGGGTTTAGGGTTTAGGGTTTAGGGTTTAGGGTTTAGGGTTTAGGGTTTAGGGTTTAGGGTTTAGGGTTTAGGCTTTAAGCTTTAGGGTTTAGGGTTTAGCGTTTGGGGTTTAGGTTTAAGGTTTAAGGTTTATGTAAGGTTTAGGCCGCAGACCTCAGGGCTCCGGTGGCTTAGGCTGTTGTTCTGGCGGATTTAGGGTTTGGGGTTTAGGGTTTGGGGTTTAGGCTTTAGGGTTTGGGGTTTAGGGTTTGGGGTTTAGGGTTTAGGGTTCTCCGGGTTCCTCAACACTTCGAGGGCTGCTGTAGGATTTAGGCCCCCTAGACTCCAAACCTAAGCCCCAATCCCTAAAGCCTAAACCCTAAACCCCAAACCCTAAACTCTAAACCCTAAACCCTACACCCTAAACCCTAAACCCTAACCCTAAACCCTAAACCCTAAACCCTAAACCCTAAACCCTAAACCCTAAACCCTAAACCCTAAACCCTAGCCCTAAACCCTAAACTCTAAAGTCCCCCTATCTCTTCCTGAGAACCAAAGAGTTGAAGATCCCAGCACCCAGGCACCGGCACGTAGCAAACCAGTAGCGAATGCCTTGGTTGAGCAGACCGAATTAGGGTTTAGGGTTTAGGGTTTAGGGTTTAGGGTTTAGGGTTTAGGGTTTCGGGTTTAGGGTTTAGGGTTTAGGGTTTAGGTTTGGGGTTTGGGGTTTGGGGCGTCGTAGGTTCTAGCAGACAGCAGGTTCTCAACCCCGTAGAAGCCTAGAAGCCCGAACGTAGGAGCCGTTCTTTCTCATCAAAACAGGGGTTCAGTGTGGTGTTTCACGCGCTGCTGTTGGCCCTGGACGGGCACGTGACAAGTCTGTGACAAGTCCTGGGTTACAAGGCGAAGGAGCGAGTGTCTATGGGCTCGAGACGCCTGGACGAATGCTCCAGCGCACACTCGCAGCTCCGACTACTCAACTGCTCGGCCTCCGCTGCTTGCACCCCAAAAAAAAGGGATACCAGTCAACATCGGAAAGTCACACGCGCAGTTCTATCCTGCGGGTCCAGCACACGCAACTCCAGGCTGCAGGCTCTAATCCGAGTTCGTAGCTAGGTGAGAGCATAAGCTGAATATGGGCAACAAATACGTCATATGCACGACTAAGCCTCTGAAAGCTGTCGCAGGATTTCTTAAATTCCATTTGTATTCGGCTGAAATGGTTGTACCTCAGCCGCGTCATGTCTGAGAGCAGGGGAGCGTCTCAATAAACTATGTCGGTTGATGGCATTGCTTTCTAGTCGATAACTTTTCCAGAGCAGGAGAAGACTTTCATGCAACGCAGTCCCTCAGCTCAGCACGGAGGGTCTGCATCGCCCCCCGGATGCGGATCTTGGCGCCCTCCGTGCACTTCCGTGCAGCCAAGCTCACCAAGGTGCTGAAGCTGGCCACACCGGGACGTGGCAGTGAGGATGGCAGTAGTTGCAGGCATCGCCCACCTCGCACTGCCGCCCGGACGCGACGTGCACGCATGGGCGCTGGCAGAGCTCCGGATGACCGAGGCGCCCAGCACTGACCGGCACCGAGATTTGCGGCCTTCCAGGTTCCTCCTCTGCTTCGTCCACTGATGGCACTGCCGGCAACACCGCTGCCGGTGCTTGCGCTGCAGGCACCGCCTGGCAAAGAAGGGGAGGGGCGCTGCGAGCGCGGCCGGTGCGAAGGTCCTTGCCCCGCTCTTCGTCCTCCAAGAGCACGCCAAGGAAAGTAAAACGACACTCCTGCGCCATCGCACCTGCATGGACCTACACAAGCTCCGAGCCTGCGCTGCGTCCTCGCAAAGGGCCATGTTCTCCAAACCGCCGAAGACAGCTCTAATCTCTGCAACCCTTCTGCCCCTGAAACCTGGTTGAAGGGGCTGGGTGGTGCGACAGGCGTTGCCGGAGTTTGCGAGCGCCACACAACCCCCAAGTAAACCCTAAACCCTAAACCCTAAACCCTAAACCCTAAACCCTAACCCTAAACTCTAAACCCTAAACCCCAAACCCTAAACGCTGGCTTGGCTGCGCTATCAAGTTGTCCGTGGCAGCCGGAGTCGTCAAGCCGTACGCGGAGCGCACGGCGAGCGGGACCAAGGCGGCGAAATCGATGAAGTTGTATGGGTTCTTGCAGAAGGCCTTGGATTCAGGGTGTAGGGTTTAGGGGTTAAGGTTTAGGGTTTAGGCTTTAGGCTTTAGGGTTTAGGGTTTAGGGTTTAGGGTTTAGGGCTTAGGGCTTAGGGTTTAGGGTTTAGGGTTCAGGGCTATAGGGTTTGGGATCTAGACTCTTGGGGCTCAAGAACACTTCGCACGCGACCTCGGCGTCTAGCGCCCGAAGTACGAAGTACCCACGCACACGCTGTGAGGACTCTGGCAGCCAAGCAACCCTAAACCCTAAACCCTAAACCCTAAACCCTAAACCCTAACCCAGGTCTGTAGAACCCTAAACCCCAAAACCCCTTAACCCAGACCAGCTAGTTCCTGAGCTCTGAAATCGAGGGGTCAAGTATGCCCTGAACTCATCGAAATACCATTGAGATCGAACCAGCCCTCAGCCCCTCAGACTCTGAATTTGAAGACACCAAGCTTTAGATTCGAAGCCCTAAGCCCTGAAGCTGAAAATAACCCAAACACTCAAAAGCCATTCTAAACTCGAAGCCCGAAGTCAATTGGTACCCCGCGTGCCTCCTTCTAACCTAAACCCTAAACCCTAAACCCTAAACCCTAAACCCTAAACCCTAAACCCTAAACCCTAAACCCTAAACCCTAAAACCCTAAACCCTAAACCCTAAACCCTAAACCCTAAACCCTAAACCCTAAACCCTAGGCTTGCCATCCAAAGCGTCCAGCTTCGACGACGATGAGACGAAATGCGTGACGAACTCCATGCACATCAGTATCTGGGCTAGGGCTTAGCATAAGGGGTTTAGGGTTTAGGGTTTAGGGTTTAGGGTTTAGGGTTCAGGGATTAGCGGGGATCCTGCTAATTTAAAGGTTGGACCATCCTTGCCTATGGAAATGCCCATCTGCCGCCTAAACCCTAAACCCTAAACCCTCAACCCTCAACCCCCAACCCAAAACCCAAAACCCAAAACCGAACACCACCCTCCCACCACCGCCCCCCAACAAAACAACAAGAAAAACAAAAACAAACACGCAGGAACCCAAAACCCTGAAACCTAAGCCCTCAACCTCCTGCCGAGCATTCCGATAGTTCCGACCTGGCCCATTGAGCTAGCCTGAAAGCCTAAATCAGAAGCCAGAAACCGTAACTACCCCCAAAACCAAAACCCTAAACCACTCACCCCTTGACTCCTGAACCCTAAACCCTAAACCCTAAACCCAGGGTTTAGGGCTTCGGCTTTAGGGTTTCGGGTGTAGGAGTTTGGGGTTCAGGGTTTTGGGTTTAGGGTTCAGGGATCAATTCCAACCCTTGTCTCCAGAAACCTGCAACCTGAAAGGCCCCCTAACCCCCCACCTCCACAAAAAAACAAAACGAAACAACAACCCTTAAACACCCCGAAAAAGAAACCCTGAAACCCGAAAGCCCTGAAACCCTGAAAGCCTGAAACCTAAAGCCCTGAAACCTGGAAACCCCTAAAACCCTGCACCCCTAAACCCTAAACCCTAAACCCTAAACCCTTGGAGCCACCCGCCTCGATCCCCAGCTGGATATACGCCTCCACGTCCTTGGTGAAGAACGGCTCGGAACCGGCTTGCCAGATCCTGAGCTGATCTTCTGTCGGCTTTAGGGGGCTTAGGGTTTAGGGTTTAGGGTTCAAGGTTTAGGGTTTAGGGTTTAGGGCCGCGGCTCTCTAGAAGGGCTGTTTATTGTGGAGGCCGTTTTAGGGTTTAGGGGGTTTAGGGGGCTTAGTGGCTTTAGGGGTAGAGGGTTTCGGGGATTTAGAGCTAGAGGAACCCCAAAAGCCCTGTTCCACGACATGTCCATCAAAGGCAGCCCACTTGCCCCCCAGCAGCAACCATTGATCCAAAGCCTGATCTACCACATGAAAATAGGCAAAGCCCACCTCATAGGGTTTAGGGTTTAGGGTTTAGGTTCAGGGTTTAGGGTTTAGGGTTTAGGGTTTAGGGTTTAGGGTTTAGGGTTTACGGTTTACGGTTTACGGTTTACGGTAGGGTTTAGGGTTTAGGGTTTGAATATGCTACCGCCCACCCCACCACCCCACCACCCCGCACCCCGCGCCCACCACCCACCACCCCATGCCGGAAATACCCAACCCTCCACCCCAGAATACCTGAAGCCCAATCTCCAGATCTAAACCGATCGCGCGAAAGCCCAAACCCAGAAATCAAAACGTTGAACCCCCATGTGGGAGTCTTCTTTTATCAATGACAGCGTCGCCGCTTGACACTTGCCTCTTCGACACAACCAGATTCTCGCAGCAAGCGCCCCATCCGCCACTGCTAGACTTCCTCAGCAGCAGCAGCAGCAGCAGCAGCAGCAGCAGCAGCAGCAGCAGCAGCAGCAGCAGCAGCAGCAGCAGCAGCAGCAGCAGCAGCAGCAGCAAGAGCTGTGCGTTGAAATCTGTCGGGCTGGTCCTTGTCCGCGCCAGCTTCCAACAACAAGAGGGACTACGTCGCAGTGCCCTTGCTGCGCAGCCACCAAAAAAAGGAGTGCAGACTCGTCCGGCTTGTCCTTGTCAGCACCTGCTTGAGCAAGCGCAGCCTCAGGCTGCCACGTGCAGCATCAAGTGGAGCACCTCGAAGTTGTTGCGGCAGCAATGAACAGAGGCGTTTGCTTCCAAATGTCATGCTTGTCCTTGTCAGCGCCAGCATCCACCAGAGTGCGGACCACCTCCGGTTTCGACATGCTGCTTCGAAAAGAGGAGTCTGTTGTGGTCGGGGGTAGTTCAAGTGGAGCACCTCCGACTTCCCATACTTTAAGCAGCCGCGTGAAGAGGAGTACGTTCTCTGTTCGTGTCCTTGTCAGTGCCAGCGTCCAGCAGCAAGCAAGCCCCAAGTGCCCCCTAAAAGCGGCCATGTAGAGCGGAGTTGTCGGCGCCCCAAGCAGCAAACGGACTACCTCCAAGTGCTTTCTGCAGCCTTGAGAAGAGGAGTGCGACAAAAACCGTCTGACTTGTCCTTGTCAGCACCAGCATCCAAGAGCAAGCGGACCACCTCGCAATGCCCTGCGCCCGCAGCCACCGAAAGAGGAGTGCGCGCGGAGTCGTCCGGTCCTTGTCGGCACCAGCTTCCAAGAGCAAACGGATGTCGGAGTGCCCACGACAAGCCAATACAGAGGAGTCTTGTCCCAGGTGCAAAGTCGGGATCTTGAGGCCCTGGGCTCGCCGGAGCACTTCAAACCGCTAGACAAGCCTAGCCACCACACGAGCCAAGCTTCGGCATAGAAGGGTGTCTACTTCACGAGATTTCCCTCAACTGCAGCGTAGAGGTCAAGCGCTTGAGGAGCAGAAGTGGCCAAAGGCAGCAGCTCCAGCTGAACTTCGTCAGGCGCCTCCAGGGTTGCGTCTGCAAGGGTACGGCTGTCCGCCATCCTTATCAACCTCGAAACCTGGGCTGCCCAGACAATGGCTGCAGGTACCGCTTCAGCCCACGCACAGCTAAAACATCGGCTGCGACAATGCGGGACAGATCCTCTTGTGAGAGAGCCGCCACCGGTGCACCTGTCGCTGCACCAAACACCCGGAGCATTGCCATCTGCCACTCAGGAGTGGCTAAGCAGACTCCGATGTCGTGTAACCCGATGCCCAAGCCCGCAACCTCTGAGCCCTACAACCTCAACCCTGCACCCTAAAACCTGCACCCTGAACCCTGAACCCTGAACCCACAGCCGTAACCCTAAATCCTAAACTTGAATAACAACTTGCAACTTTTGAGCCGCTAGCTAGGCAGCGACTTACTTCAGGAGGCTCAAGTAGGAGCGCCTTGTTGTTCGCAACCCTTGCATGTGGGGAGTAATCGACGGGCATCTGTTTCGTCGTGTTGAAAACTTCGCCTTGGGACGTAGGTGTCTGGGTAGCACAAGCAAAACCATACAAGGTCGCCTGAACCCCAAACCCTGCAGCACCCATGTGCTTCCACGCTACCTCAACATCCTCCTAAACCCTAAACCCTAAACCCTAAACCCTAAACCCCAAACCACCCTCGGGACACACGATGTCTTGACTTTGCCATGAACGAACCTGGCTGCACTGGCAAAAGTGGTCCGGGCTCGGGTGCGAAATGGGTTTAGGGTTTAGGGTTTAGGGTTTAGGATTTAGGATTGAGGGTTTAGGGTTTAGGGCTTAGGGTTTAGGGTTTAGGGTTTAGGGTTTAGGGGCTTCAACGGCCGCGGAGCCTTAAAACCTTGACTCGAGCACAGCAGGGCACCTACAGTCATGGCAGCTTCTGGTAGTTCTCAGTAGTTTTTGGCAGTACCGATTGTTGCACCGGAAAACCCCCTTCTGTGAAGGACCCATAATCTTACTTGGGAGTTTAGGGAGTTTAGGGAGTTTAGGGAGTTTAGGGAGTTTAGGGAGTTTAGGGAGTTTAGGGAGTTTAGGGAGTTTAGGGGGTTTAGGGGGTTTTGGGGGTCTTGGGGGTTTTGGGGGTTTTGGGGTTGAGAGAGTTGAACAGGGGGTTTGGACACTGGTAGATTCTCAGGATTCGCCAAGGAGCGTGAACAGAATGGTTGCGGTGATGAGATAGTTCCTGAGCGGGTGGCTAATGAGAGCCTTGAGCTGTAACTAAACCCTAAACTCTAACCCTAAGGCCTACACGTAAACCCCACAGACAACTTCGGTACTTGGCTTCTGGGGCATGAAATAGTCATAAGACCCTACCAACTGCGTTTGCTCTGGCTGTGAGGATCTATAGAGAACCCACAAAACTTACCCTAAACCCCTCACCAGGAACCCTAAAATCTTGAGGTTTGAGGTTTGAAGGTTTGAGGTTTGAGAGGTTTGAGGTGTGAGGCTCGAGGTTTGCCGGTTGAGGTTTGCGGTTTGGAGAGTTGGGCGCATACGGGTTCAAGAGTTCGAGTTGTCATTTTGAGGCGGACGGTTCAGCACTAACCACCGGATGCTAGGCGGATTGAAAACGAGAAAGACGCAAAGTACGGCCACTGATTGCAACTTGTAGTTATGCTTGGTATTGCAGGCGTTATGCAGGTATTTACCAGGGTCTATGAAGTTGAGGCTGTTCGAGGCAGTCTCGGCGTACTCCGGAAACGGGTGCCAAGTCAAGCAAGGCGCGTCGTCAAGGCATACCAACGGGCAGCAGGACTGGAATCAGGATCCTGCATCGTGCTACCCAACCACACTCCTAGCAAAAAGTTGCTCTCTGGAGCCAGTTCGCCCTAAACCCTATATCCTCAACCCTCAACCCTCAACCCTCAACCCCAAACCCTAAACCCCTGGACCCTAAACTCTCAAGTACGAAGCTGCCACGGAACACGTGCTCTCAGTCAGCTCTACACACGACGGCACTTGTGGTCTCCCAGGGGTACACAAGAAACCCCCAGAAACCAGCAACCCGAAACCCTAAACCCGAAACCCTAAACCCGAAACCCTAAACCCTAAACCCGAAACCCTAAACCCGAAACCCCAAAACCCTAAACCCTAAACCCCAAACCCCAAACCCCAAACCCTAAACCCTAAACCCGAAACCCTAAACCCGAAACCCTACCAAAGGCGCCTCTAGGAATAGCCACACGCGCGACACGGCCGGCTCCCTCCTGCATCAAAAAGAGATTTTTTTAGAAGGTTTACGGCCGTCGCACAGACCCCTAAAAAGGGGGGGGGGGGTTTAGGGTTTAGGGTTTAGGGTTTAGGGTTTAGGGTTTTTAGGGTTTAGGGTTTAGGGTTTAGGGTTTAGGGTTTAGGGTTTAGGGTTTAGGGTTTAGGGTTTAGGGTTTAGGGTTTAGGGTTTAGGGTTTAGGGTTTAGGGTTTAGGGTTTAGGGTTTAGGGTTTGGGGTTTAGTACTAGGTTTGGGTTTCGGGCCTCCCCCTATTCAGCAAAATTCCCATATCCTAGTTGGTTCAAGCTACAGCGGGCAAGAGCTGGCTGGCTTTAAGGGTTTAGGGTTTATTTAGGATTTAATTAGGATTTTGGGCTTAGGGTTCAGGGTTTTGGGTTTTAGGGTTTAGGGTGCAGCATTGGTCGAGCTGAAGGCAATAGTGTGGAGACATGCCCACAAGGCCACCCATTCGGGACTCTCACAGCAACACGAAACTGCAGCCAGCCCAAACCAAGCCAAAGCCACTCAAATTGCACATGCGACACATTTTTAAGGGGTCGTATGGAACGCTTGCGACACTGGGCTAAACGGCAAAGGATACCTCCACTCAACGATTGCACAGGGGACGCTGGGCGGGGCCCTCTCATTGATGGCAAACTTTTGGCTAACTTTTTGGGTTGGCGAATTGTTCGTTTACAACACCCGATTCATTGGCTTTTCTGGTCGCTCGAAGCCAAAGGCAAAGGATACCACCCTATGCCCGGGGGATGGCGGGCGGGCTTCGGGCTTAGGGTCCGGAAGCTGCTTCTGCAGTACGACGTGCGCCACCGCATTTTCTACTCAAGCTACAGTGTCTGTTTCAGCACAGCTCTCTCCAATCACGATTGATTCTCAGCAGTCCAAATGACCTGAAACAAACAAACAAACAAACATACCAACACAACAGAAGCCTATGCCGTATCGCATGGTCTGCACGTGCAAGCGGTCTTGAAGAAGGCGGAGAGCGAAACGTTGCTGGGCCGTTTGTTGGTCAGTCGACCTCCAGCTTGGGTGGCTTCCCCGTTGTCGGGAGGACAAGAAATGGGTCTCTGACGGCCTAAGCCCTAAAGCACGAAAGCCCTAAACCCTAAAACCCTAAAGCCTCAAAGCCCCAAAGCCCCTAACACTCCCAATTCCTGAAACCCCTGAAGCCAACCAACCAAACAAGAACCTAGCTCCAACAATGTACTCTTCTCCACGAGGCTCCCCTCTGGCCTGATACGCGCGCATGTGCGTCCGCACAAAGGTTTGGGGTTCGGGGACGTCGGGTTCATGAATGACGGCAAAAGCTTCTGGGTAGAGTTCATGAAGCCTCTAAACCCCAAAGGTCCGAAAGCTACCAGTCGAAACACAAGCCCCCCCACGCCCCTGAAACCCAGCCCACGTGGCTGTTCATGCCGGGAGGAACATGCTCCTCGTCCTGAGCGGCAACTTCGGGGAGGTTGTGGGATCTTAGGCTCCCTCAACCCCTAAACCCCTAAACCCTTAAACCCCTAAACCCCCTAAACCCCTAAACCCCTAAACCCCCAAACCCCCTAAACCCCTAAACCCCCAAACCCCTAAACCCCTAAAACCCCCTAAACCCCTAAACCCCGAAACCCCGAAACCCCTAAAACCCCTAAAACCCCCTAAGTCCTAAACCCGAACACCAAATTCTTGCAACGCACCTTCCCAAGCCCTGACCCCGACGCACACTCTCCCTGCAACAGGAACCCTCACACATAAACCCCAAGTTCTGACCAAAAAACCCTAAAACGCGCACCAAAGCAAACCCCTTAGCCGAAAACGGTCCCCAAGCTCTTCGAATTCCCCCCATAGTCTAGGGTGTAGGGTTTACGGTTTAGGATTCAGGGTTTAGGGTTTAGGGTTAGGGGGTAGGATTTAGGGTTTAGGATTTAGGGTTTAGGATCTAAAGAACTTAGGGTTATGGTTTAGGGTTTGAGGCTGTTAGGGCTTTCAAGGGGGTTCAGGCAGGCGACCGTGCTGGACGCAAAGGAGGCAGAGGAGCCGGAGGAGGACGAGGAGGACGAGGAACTCTTCGCCTCGGGGCCACGAAAATTATGTTTGGGGTTCAGGGTTTAGGGTTCAGGGTTTAGGGTTTCGGGCTTAGGGTTTAGGGTTTAGGGTTTGGGGTTTAGGGTTTAGGGTTTAAGGTTCAGAGGCTTTGGCCAAGGGACGATGATTAAGGGTTTCGGGCTCAGTGGGGCCCAAGGGACTGGGGGTCATTTGAGGGTTTAGGGTTTTGGGGTTTAGGGTTTAGGGCTTAGGGCTTAGGATTTAGGGTCTGTCTTGCTCTCGTATCCGCTTTGCTGTCAGGGGTGTCGGGCCGTGCAGTGTTCGAGGCTCAGGGTGTAGGGGCTCAGGGTTAAGTGTTTGCGGTTTAAGGTTTAGGGCTTAGGGTTTAGGGTTTAGGATTTAGGGTTTAGGGTTTAGGGCTCGGGGCTCAGGACTTAGGGCTTTAGGCTGCGGTGTCTGCAGAATCAATAGTTCAAGACCACTCAAACTAAAGGCCCAGCGTCCGACTTCTTGTCCTCCGCATCCTCCTATCACATCAGGGTAGAGGGGGTTTAGGGTATAGGTGAGGGTTGAGGGTTGCGGGTTTAGGGTTTAGGGTTTAAGATATCTGGAGGGTTAAACTGCCCTAAATGCAGTCTCGGGACTCAACAGCAAGTCCTAGACCCCCAAATAACCCTGAAGCTTAAACCCAAGTTATAAACCCTAAACTCTACACCCTGAACCTCTCTTTCTACATTTTTTTTATATATACATACATACATAGAAAAAACTTACTTACTTACTTACTTACTTACTTACTTATTGATATTTGTTTCCCCCCCCCACCTTATGATCCGCACACCCTCCGTTGGATTGCATTGTTGCGGATCATGATCATGTGGCAGATTCTGCGGTGAGGGACGCACATCCCCACGAACTCCTGCTTTCAAGAGTGTGGGGATGTTGGGTGCATGTACATGTATACATTGTGCAAAAACATAAGCAAAGTCAACCGCGCAGCGTAGCGGAACTGGATTGGCCCGAAACACATTCGGGGGAGCACATATACATATATGATCATATATGTATTTATTCTATCTTTAGGTATATATATACATATATATATGCATACATATTGGTGTGTATATATGCATATATGTGGTGTGTGTATATATGCATATATGTGGTGTGTGTGTGTGTGTGTATCTATACCCAAATGGCCCTAATGGCTTCGTCGGCACGTAGGCAAGGCTTGCCTTTTGGACCGAAAGAGTCGGATAGGCTGGAGGAAAGCTGGCTTGAGGAACAAGACGTAGAGTAAAATGGTGGGACACGCCCTCATCCCGACATCACAAACCCTAAACCCTAAACCCTAAACCCTAAACCCGAAACCCTAAACCCTAAACCCTAAAGCTTGGATTGATTCAGGGACCGGTTGGTCCATGAGATTCCATGAGTCACAGAGGGGGAGGTCCTCTTTGATTGGCGCCTTCGGCTGCGAGCCTGATGGCATCCCAGTTTTGGGGCTCGGGCCTTGGGGGAACTGTGGATCTAGGGGGTCTAGGGTTCAGGGTTTAGGGTTTAGGGTTTTGGGTTTAGGGTATTAGGGCTTGGGGTTTAGGATTTGGGGTTGTGGGGTCTAGGGTTCCTACCAAGGAGGTGTGGGGCTTTCGATAGCTGCGGTACTCCATTGAGAGGGGCCATGTGGGTCGCGGACAAAAGCCTGCGCTTGTCTACATGTCGTGAGTCACGTGACGCACTCCGTGTGGGTTGATCACGATCACGATCATGACTCCTAGCGAAGCACAATGAACAACGGCGACGGGAATCCTGATGAAAGTCATACTGAAAAGGACCATCCGGATGGTCATGACACGAATGCCCGAGTCCCGGTCGTTGCTTCCCCCCTGCCCTCGGCTCCCCAGAGAAGTCACGCAGATTGCGCGCCACTTAACTGTCAAACAAAGGCTAGGATTTAGAATTTTGGATTCAGGGCTTAAGATGCAGGACTTCGGATTTCCCTAAACCCTGAACTCTAAACCATTTAGGCCGATAGGGCTTAGGGCAAGTGGTCTTCCGTGCAGCCTGCCACGGCAACCGCGGTGTCCCCGAAGCCCTCGCTGGTGGAGCCACGCCGGAAGCTGGCCTGGCGTGTGTTGTCTGGGTCTACTGGTTTAGGGTTCAGGGTTTAGGGTTTAGGGTTTAGGGTTTAGGGTTTAGGGTTTGGGGTTTAGGGTTTAAGGTTTAGGGTTTAGGGTTAACCCTAAATCCTAAACCCTAAAACCCATAAATCCTAACCCCCTCAGGAGCGCAAGCGCGCCGTGGAAACCAGAAGCCCAGTGTCGTGATTCAGCTGATCCCAGATTCCCACCGCCTACCCCCAAAGCTCCCGAAAAGCCCTCAACCCCGAATCCTCCGCCCTAAGCCCCTGAATCCTAAACCCCTAAACCCTAGCCCTAATTCCTAGCACCCTAAACCCTACACCCTGAATCTACAGCCTAAACCCTCAACCCTGAATCCTACACCCTAAACCCTTAGCCCTAAACCCTAAACCCTAAACCCTACACCCTAAACCCTAAACCCTAAACCACCGACCTTTGACTTGGGCTGCGCAGCAATCCCACTTCCGCCGGAGTCTGCCAGGCTGTTGCTCGTGGAGCCCCGCCGGAAGCTGACCTGTGGATGGGCTTGGGGTTTAGGTTTAGGGTTTAGGGTGTAGGGTTTAGGGTTTAGGGTTTAGGGTTTAGGGTTTAGGGTTTAGGGTGTAGGGTTTAGGGTTTAGGGTTTAGGGTTTAGGGGTTTAGGGTTTAGGGTTTAGGGATTAAGGGTTTAGGGGAAAGGGTTTAGGGTTTAGGGTTTAGGGTTTAGGGTTTAGGGTTTAGGGATAAGGTTTAGGGTTTGGGGCTTGGGGATTAAGGGCTTGAGGGATAGGGCCTTGCAGTTTTGCAGCTTCTTACCTTCCCTTCTTGTTTTTGGAGGTGCCTCACCCTAAACCCACCCTACCCAGCCGCGTGTGAATCCTACAAGCCCCTAGAACCCTACCAACGGTTCAGGGGTTGGGCTTCAACTTTTGGCTTCAGATGGCTTTCATAGTTCTAGCTTGGCATTTAGGGTTTAGGGGTTGAGGAGTTGTGGGGTTTAAAGTTAGCCTAAGCCCTAAACCCTAAACCCTAAAACCTAAACCCTAAAGGACCCCCGAAAGCTCGGAGGGGCTTAGGTATTTTAGGAGCCGAAAAAGTCCCGGGCTTAGAGCACATGGCCAAAGGCTTCCAGAGGCCTGAAGAGTTCGAGCCCTCAACCCAGAACCCCTTAGCGCTTAGAGTTCAGAAGTTGTGAACCCTGAGCCGGGTCAAATTGGGCCCCACCGACAGCGGCAGAGACAAAGACAGCAGGCGCATGGTAAAGCGGCAGCGGAACATGGCTCAACACTGAAAAGCTCAAGCCGTCCATGCAAAGCAAGACTGAATGCTGGGAGGCCTTCCCTTCTGGCACTGCAGGTCTGCACAAAGAACGGTGGGGACACACCCCCCCGCCAAGTGCTGAAAGAATCCCCCAGTGAGCGCATTAGCCCATCGCCCCACTGTCATATGCCTCAGCACCAGGCACGTTGGCACGTTGGCCTCAAGGGATCTCGGGGTGAGAGCGGGAGACTCCAGATGCGCGACGAATCCTAAACCAGTGATCTAGAAGTTCCTAGAAACACTATACCCAACAAACACATGCACAATGTCCGCGTGCAAGAGCGCAGGTGCCCTGTCTGCACGTAGACAATGTCACCCGTCTGTCTCAGCCGACACTCACCCCCATGCAGCACGCCCCGCACCCGGCCAACGGTGCGCGAGCCGCTGGGAGCTCGTGGGTGGGGCAACAGAATGCTGCGACAAGCTCACCATGAAGTTGGCATAGCTGGACAAGAAGCAGCAGGCATGTGACACATGCATTAAGGCCGAGTGGGGGGAGGGTGCAAGCCGATGGGGAAAAGGTCGGTTTTATGAAGGGGGCTTTTCGCGGGCCTGGGCGCTTCAGTCACAGGGCAACGCTGGCCTTTCATTTCGACTTCCGCGGGCCTTTCCCTAAGGCCTTCTTAAAGTGGAATCTGTCAAGAGTTTCCCTAAACCCTAAACCCTAAACCCTAAACCCTAAACCCTAAACCCTAAACCCTAAACCCTAAACCCTAAACCCTAAACCCTAAACCCCATGAGAGGATTGCGAGCCCCAATGGAGCTGGGGCTTCCCTCCGTTCATTGAGGGAACCGATGGGAACGTCTGCGCAGCGCACGCGCCTTCCACCTGCCTGCTTCCGGTAAGGGTTTAGGGTTTGGGGTTTAGGGTTTATAGGCTTAGGGCGTAAGGTTTAGGGCTCAGGGCTTAGGGTTTAGGATTTAGGGTTTAGGGTTTAGGGTTTAGGGTTTAGGGTTTGGGGTTTAGCTGTTCAATCATCTCTTTCAACTTCTTTGTTGGCCGGGTTTTTGATGCTGTCGAATCTCTGGAACCATGCAGTCACAGGGAGCTGGGGGAACTACACGCACTTGAGTCGCTTGCCTCTGTCAATTGTTTCAATTCTTTGGGTGGTCGACTTTCCACCAGCAGATGAAAGCGAACGGGACAACCGCTTCCGCAGAAATGCAATTCCATGTTGATGTGCCCACCCGCATCGTTGCCCCAACTCTTCAAAGGGCTTAACCTGCCTTCTACCCAACACCGTGAACCCTAAACCCTAAACCCTCAACCCTCAACCCTCAACCCTAAGCCCTAAACCCTAACCCCTAAACCACTTGGGAGCCCATGAATGAGAGACCAATCGTCACACGGAGCGTAGATTCCGCAGGACACGTGCAACAACTAATCAAGGGTTGTACGCATCTTCTCCCCCCCGATGGGGGAGGGGGGGGGGGGTTTAGGACGTTTCTGACTCAGGCTTCTTCCGTTTTCGGCTCACGCAAGGTGACACCAAAAACAGTCTTCCTGACTTGCGCCCAACTCAACCCTGCAAACCCTGCAACCCCTATAACCCTATAAACCCTATAAACCCTATAAACCCTATAAACCCTATAAACCCTTTAAACACCATAAAACCCCATAAGCCCTATGAAAACTGAGCTTCGGCACCTGCGTCCGCAGCGTAGCCACTTGCTGTGGTGGTGACTGCCTGGGAGGCTGGGGTGAGGGGGGAGAGTTGAGCATTGAGAGTTTAGGGTTTAGGGTTTGGGGTTTAACTCGGGTTTAGGGCCTAGGGCTGAGGGTTTAGGATTTGGGGCTTAGAGATTTAAGGCTTAGAGTTTAGGGCCGAGGGTCTCATCGAGCCCAAACGTGAAACCCACGACCCAGCCCTGAAGAAGCCCTCGGCGCCAAAACGCCAAAACTCAAACTTACTAGAGATATATATATATATATATATATATCCACACACGTATATACATATGTACGTACACATAGAAACGCTCCACCCTAACCCCCGCTAAACACAACCCTAAACCCTATACACCCTAAACCCTGAACCCCGAACCATCAAACCCCCACCCCCCACCCCGCCCACCCGAAAAATGCAGGAAACCCTAAACCCTAAACCCTAAACCCTAAACCCTAAACCCTAAACCCCAAACCTAAACCCTGAACCCTAAACCCCAAACCCTAAACCCTAAACCCTAAACCCGAAATGTGGGGGACCAAAGGTCGGTGTGGCCGGGAGGGCGAAGTCGGGAGTCGGCGGCGCCGCATTAGGGCTGACCTCGGCTGCTTTGATGCTCCGACCCGTTTTCGGGGAGTTAGGGATTATGGTTTAGAGTTTGGGAGTTTAGGAGTTTGGGGTTTGGGGGTTTGGGGGTTTGGGGGTTTGGGGGTTTGGGGGTTTGGGAGTTTGGGGGTTTGGGGGGTTTGGGGGTTTGGGGGTTTGGGGGTTTGGGGGTTTGGGGGTTTGGGGGTTTGGGGGTTTGGGGGTTTGGGGGTTTGGGGGTCCCTAAACTCCGAGCCCCATAGGGTGTCGGGGGCTTGTCACGTGCAAGCCGCCGCAAGCTCGGCGGAGACTTCCGAGTCGGAGTCCTCCTGATTCAAGCCCCAAAGGGCTTAGAGGACCCAAGTATGTTGAATGTTGCTTGCTTGTCCTAAACCCTAAACCCTAAACCCTAAACCTTAAACCCTAAACCCTAAACCCTAGACCCTAAACCCTGGCCCTAAACCGAATTGTGGCAAGGCTGTATTTCATGCTCTCCCGTCATTCTCGAAGACGGTCTGCATGCCGGATGCTTCTAGCGACAAGTGCTTCCGGCCTTCACCTCCGGGAGTTCCTTCTGGACGGGCGAGGCCTGGGGTTTAGGGTTTAGAGTTTAGGGTTTAGGGTTTGGGGTGTAGGGTTTAGGGTTTAGGGTTTGGGGTGTAGGGTTTAGGGTTTAGGGCTTAGGGTTTAGGGTTTAGGGTGCCAAGCACTGCACATGGACACGAAAGGGCCCTTGCTTGAAACCCACGCATAACCCTCACGCTCTAACCTCTCAACCTCTCACCCTCTAAACCTCTCAACATCTAAACGTCCCAACCTCCAAACCCTAAACCCTAAACCCCAAACCCTAAACCCTTAACCCTAAACCCTAAACCCTAAAGCCCCCACTTGGCCACCTTGGCTTCGAAGAGAGAGGCAGGCGCTGCCAGCGGCGTTCGCGGATGGAAGGCGTCCCTGGGATCCTGGTGTGGAGGGTTTTTTTGGGGTTTAGGGTTTAGGGTTTAGGGTTTAGGGTTTAGGGTTTAGGGTTTAGGGTTTAGGGTTTAGGGTTAGGGTTTAGGGCTTAGGGTTTAGGGTGTGGCAGATTTATGCCATGCCGTCCCAGTCGCAGTGAAACCCTGAAGTACATGAAGTAGGGTTTTCGCTGTTGTTTTTACTATCCCCAAAAAAACACCCAAATATATGGGGGGGGGGTTCCGAACATAGGGATACCCTTGTTGGCGTCCCTTCAAGGGGATTCTATTCTATTTGGGGTATAAGTACACCAATTTGGTAAATACCCATATACACTCACTCTAAACCCTGTTTCACACGCGTACTCTCTATCGCCACCCAAACAAGACTGATGAAGCCCAACAATCGGAGGTTGGGGGGTGCTGGCAGTAGCAACTCCAAGCCTAAACCCCAAAAACACAGTCGAAACTCCAGGCCCTAAGTCCCAAACTCCGAATCCCAACTCATGTGACACCCAAAACCCTAAACCCTCAGCCCTAACCCTAAACCCTAAACCCTAAACCCTAAACCCTAAACCCTAAACCCTAAACCCTAAACCCTAAACCCACACTCTACTCTGGAACCCAAAAGGTCCGGCAGCTTAGGCGGCTGATAGAGCCCTTTGGGCGTCTTGAGCTCCAAGGAGTCCGTCGACGTCACCGTCTCCTGAGCTATTCACAGAGGGCGGATAGGGTTTAGGGTTTAGGGTTTAGGGTTTAGGGTTTAGGGTTTAGGGTTTAGGGCATAGGGCTTGGGGTTTAGGGTTTAGGAGTTTGAGGGTTTAGGGTTTAGGGTCTGCGGTTTCCGGGCTCTCAACCAGAACCCTCTGCTCGAAGGATCAGTCCGACTTCTGCTTGGGGCGAGAATTTGGGTTTGAAGTCCATGAACCCTGAACCACAGGAGCTGCGCCAACGATTAGCCTGTAAGCCCGGATGTGCAGGAACCGAACCACTGTCAGTTTAGGCTTTTGGTAGGCCCCAAAAAAACAGTGAAACTGGTTACTTCGGCCAAAGGTGGGTAGGGATGGATAAGGTGGAAACGCAGGCTTCGCATGCTGGACCCCATTCCCCCCATCACCCCCTCCGACCCCAAAAGAACCAGGAGTTCCAAGAGCCAGAGTTCGGTCTAAACTTGCTGGAATGCAAAGCGTCGACAATTTCATGTCTACACAAAGCCGAAAGCCCCCTAGCCCTACCAAATCGTACTAAACCCTTTCTAAGCCCTACTAAACCCTACACTCTACATGTTCGATCCTTCTTCGCGTGGGTTTGCAGACGAGGAGCCCTATCGGAGACATCTGAAGCGGCGGATTTCGAAGCCAACCGCCGATGCACTTTGCTGCTCGGCTCCTGGGCGGCGCACGTGTTGGGGGATTTTGGGGGTTTGGGGCATTTTAGGGTTTAGGGCTTGGGGGGCCTCTAAGGATTTAAGGGGTTCCGCATGGCTTTGGAAGTGGAAGCTTCCCCAAACCCGTAACCCGAAACCCTCAACCCTGAACCCTGAACCCTAAACCCTAAACCCTGTTGATGACATCACGGAAATCCGATGGATCCCTGTGGTTTCTGCGCCAGGCGGCGAACTCCTCGCTGGAGTCTGAGTCAGCAGCCGTGGGCCTCCAGTTCTGCGGGGAGTACGGCGACTTGCCGAAGAAGGCCTTCGGGCAAGGGGCACGGGCTGAGAAGGGCGCTGGCGAACCGACGCCCCTAACCCTAAACCCTAAACCCTAAAAAACCCTGAGCCCTTAACCCCCCCAAACCCCGCAAACCTTGGGCCAGCTCTTGGGAATCGACGTTCGGCGTGCCGACTGAGACACGAGGACCCTTCAACCACCAAAACCTCTCGCGCAGTTAGGAATTGAGGGTTTAGGGTTTAGGGTCTCGGGTTTAGGGTTCTGGGTTTAGGGCTTAGGGCTTAGGGTTTAGGGTTTAGGGTTGAGGGTTCAGGGTTAGGGGCTTTCAGGGCTTTCAGGGATTTCAGGGCTTTCAGGGCTTCAAGATTCAGGGCAGTTTAGGGTTTAGGTGTTAGGTGTTGGGGTTTAGGGTTTTGGCGTTTAGGGTTTCGGGCTTCGGGTTTGGAACCCGTGAACCCCATACCACGCCCCCCCCCCCCCGGCCGGAAGCCTCCCAAAAGCTCAGGGGCTTGCCCTAAACCCTATACCCTAAACCCTAAACCCAAATCGTTAAACCCTTTTAGGCATCCCACCTCGTTGGGTTCCAGTCCCAGCGCCTTCTTTCCAGCTGTCAAGCGTAGGAACTGTGGTCTGGATACGGGCGACAAGGCCTGCGCCGAAATACAAGGCGCCGAGTCAGGGCTTCGGGTTTAAAATTTAGGGTTGAGGGTTGAGGGTTTAGGGTTTAGGGTTTCGGGTTTAAGGTTTGAGGATGAGGGTCAAAGGGTTGAGGGCTTGTGAAGGGCTCTGGGCTCAGGGCTATGGATATGTTTACTTTCCAAAAAAGGGGAGCCCCTACTGCACCCCAGCAAACACAGAATCCTTTGTTCTACCAAAACGGTACAGCCTCATGGGGCAAACTGACTAATGAGAGTTTCGGCTTAGGGTTTGGGCGTTCATACGGGGGCCGGATTGGTCCCTGCATAGTTATGTTATATTCACCCCAAAACTCTATTGGGGCAGCAGGGTTTAGGGCTAACCCAAACCCCAAACACCAAACCCCAAACCCTAAATCCCAAACCCCAAACCCCAAACCCGAAACCCTGAACTCCTTAAACGCTCCCAACCCAAACCCTCAACTCCCTAAATCCGACAGCTCCAAGCACTAAACCTGCAGCTCCCTCAATCCCAAACCCTAAACCCTAAACCCTAAACCCTAACCCTCAAATCCTAAAGCTCTACATCTGAAACCCCTCGCGCGCCCTACCTCCTGCTTCTCGGCCACGCTCGCTTTCAGCGTGGCACAATCCCGCTCATAGTGCTGCACGACTTCCTCTAAAAAGGACATGGTTCGACTTCCTCTAAGAAGGGACATGGTTTAGGGTTCAGGGTTTAAGGGTTTAAGGGTTTAAGGGCTTAAGGGCTTAAGGGTTGAAGGGTTTAAGGGTTTAAGGGTTTAAGGGTTAAGGGTGAAGGGTTTAAAGGTTAAGGGTTTAGGGTTTAGGGTTTAGGGTTTAGGGTTTAGGGTTTAGGGTTTAGGGTTTAGGGTCACCTTAAGTGCCTTCAGCCATAGACCTCAAACCCCGAATCCCCTCACTTCAGATGGGGTTTCGCTAATCCTAAACTTCGGGCCCTAGGGCTTCGGGCTTAGGGTTGAGAGCTTAAGGGCTTAGGGCTTAGGGCTTGGGGTTTAGGGTTTAGGTTTAGGGTTTAGGGTTTAGGGTTTAGGGTTTAGGGTTTAGGGTTTAGGGTTTAGGGTTTAGGGTTTAGGGTTTAGGGTTTGGGGTTTAGGGTTTGGGGTTTAGGGTTTAGAGCTTAGGGTTGAGGGGCTCAAGGGCGTCATCGGCCACGCAGTCAAGGCGCCAACTTCAGCCGCGCGATCAGCTGGTCGAGGTGGACGCTGAAAGGCGCATCCATTGGGCACCTGAGGAGCGGTTTAGGGTTTAGGGTTTAGGGTTTGGGGTTTAGGGTTTAGGGTTTAGGGTTTAGAGTTTGGGGTTTAGGGTGTAGGGTTCAGGGTTTTGACTATTTTGTCGTTAGGACCCAAGAAAGTTGCTTGCAGGTTTAGGGTTTAGGGCTTCGGGTCCCCAAGTAAGTTGCTCATAGGGTTTAGGGTTTAGGCTTTAGGGTTTAGGGTCCCCAGTGAAGATGCTAATGGGGTTTAGGGTTAGGTGGGATCATGGGGTTTAGGGTTGAGAGTTTAGCAACCCGAGAGCGCTCCCCACAAAGGGGTCCCCCCCCCCCCAGCAAGCTAAGATCCAAAAACAGTTTTTGGGGGATGCCCTTTTGTTGGGGGCTGGGAAGTCTGGGCGCCCGCGTTTGGTGTTGAGGGTTGGGGGTTTTGGGGTTTGGGGTTGGGGGTTTGGGTTTTGGGGTTTGGGGTTTGGGGTTTGGGGTTTGGGGTTTGGGGTTTGGGCTTGCTAAAGGGCTCAGGGAGGTGTAGAGTTTTGGGGGTTTCGATTTGTGGGTGTTAGGTTTTGGGGCCCGGGACTTTGGGGCCGGTTTGAAGTGACTTTGGGGCCGGTTAAGGCTTCGGAAATACGAGGTCGCGAGCTGAAGCCTCAAACCCATAAAACCCCAAAGCCTTCTAAAACTGCGGGAAAGATGGGCCCTTGGCCCCTAGAAGCCCTCTAACCCTCTAGCACCCGCACCTCTCCCCTACAACCCCCAGAACCCTAAACCCTGTAACCCTGTAACCCTAGATCCCTGCAATCCTGAAACCCCAGAACCCTAACCCCCAAACCCTAACCCCCAAACCCCAAACCCTAAACCCTGAACCCTAAACCCTAAACCCTAAACCCTAAACCCCGTAACCCTAAACACCCCAGAAACCTTCAGATCCGCAGAGGAACCTGCGGTGCACGCTGTAGTTGGCGCACTCAACATCCCGGTGTTCGGCGCTGAGCCCAAACCCGGCGCGGGGATGACAGGGCACAGGGTTTGGGGTTTAGGGTTTAGGGTTTAGGGTTTAGGGTTTGGGGTTTAGGGTTTAGGGTTTAGGGTGTAAGGTTTAGGGTTTAGGGTTTAGGCTTTAGGGTTTAGGGTTTAGGCTTTAGGGTGTAAGGTTTAGGGTTTAAGGTTTAGGCTTTAGGGTTTAGGGTTTAGGGCAGCTGAGGGATTAGGGTTTTCGATAGGAGCATCACTAGGCCTGCAGCAAACTCAGGTAACGGGAAAAGCCCTCCCGCCCATCGAACCCCAAAACATTCCAAAATTGAAAAAAGCTTACAGACCACCAAATAAATAGTTCATGTGTCGTTTCCCATATTTAGTTGTGGTTAGCTCAAGCACCATTGGCCTACACAGCGCGGGGTTGGCCACAAAGTCTCGAGGGCGTGTCGATCCAACCCCCAACACACGCCCACCAAGCTGGCCTAAGTACAAAGCTTGCCAGGATCCTCGGCACATCCGCCCCCAACACCAAACCTGATGTACATGACGTTGTCTCAAAGACTCGCAGCGCGTCGAGCCACCCGCCCCCCCCAAGCTCCAACACAAACGAAGAACAAGAGCACGAGCGGAAAACAAGGAAGCCCTAAAGACCCCAAACCTGCAAAGGTCAAGACGAGCGCAAGCGGGGCTGGGGACTACACGATTCGGGCGACACGCCTGGGTGCTTGTAGCACCAGCGCGCCCCCTCAATGAGGCACCCCAAACAGGCCCTAAACCCCAAGGTGTGGAGAGCCAAGACTTTAAGCTTCGAAACCCTCGAAAAGAATAAGTGCAGGCAGTGTAGGACGTAGGGTTTTCGGAATTTCGCTCATAACTCAATAGTCCTAAACCCTGAGCCCTAGAAAAACCCTACAACCCCCCCCCCATTCGCGCAGTTTTCCCCTCACGTCTTGGAGATGTCTCGGTGGACGCCACTGCTGTCCAAGCCCTGGCAGGGAGGCGTTCCAGGGTGGAGTACCCGAGTTGCTAGATTGAATTGGGAGCCTTTAAGGTTTAGGGTTGAGGGAACCCTAAACCCTAAACCCTAAACCCTAAACCCTAAACCCTAAACCCTAAACCCTAAACCCTAAACCCTAAACCCCTGTACGTCTGAGGCTTGACGGGGGGTGCGGGATGCCCACTTGCTTTTGGGTTCCTGGGCACGATGCTTACCGGGATCCCCTTCAGCCCCTCCACACCAGGAGATCACTAAGTGTCCCTAAGTACACCCTAAACCCTAAACCCTAAACCTCTCTTTCATATAAAGCACCAAAAGCCAACAGCTCTAAACCCCCCGTAGTTCCACCCTGAATCAAAATACCCGAAGCTCCCCGTAAACCCTAAACCCTAAACCCTAAACCCTAAACCCTAAACCCTAAACCCTAAACCCTAAACCCTAAACCCTAAACCCTAAACCCTAAACCCTAAACCCTAAACCCTAAACCCTAAACCCTAAACCCTAAACCCTAAACCTCTCTTTCATATATAATTTAAATGTTAAGGAGTTACTGGGCAAGGTCATTTTTTTACTGGGCAAGGTCATTTTTTTACTGGGCAAGGTCATTTTTTTCCTGGGCGAGGTCATTTTTTTTCTGGGCAAGGTCATTTTTTTACTGGGCAAGGTCATTTTTTTCCTGGGCAAGGTCATTTTTTTCTGGGCAAGATCGTTTCGGCCAAAAAAACGACCTTGCCCAGTAAAAAAATGACCTTGCCCAGTAAAAAAATGACCTTGCCCAGTAAAAATGTTACTGGGCAAGGTCATCTTTTTACTGGGCAAGGTCATTTTCTTACTGGGCAAGGTCATTTTTTTACTGGGCAAGGTCATTTTTTACTGGGCAAGGTCATTTTTTATTGGGCAAGGTCGTTCCATAAGTGAAATATTTTCTTAATGTTGTGGGATTCTTCGGGCGGGTGGGTATTTTTCTGGAGTAATAATTTCTTGACTAGTGAATGCTTGGACTTGAGATGCTGAACCCTAAACCCTAAACCCTAAACCCTAAACCCTAAACCCTAAACCCTAAACCCTAAACCCTAAAAGCCCCTAAACCCTAAACCCCAGGCTTTGGGGGAGCTCAGGATCAGGACCTTGCTTCGCTTCTAGGGTTTAGGGTTTAGGGTTTAGGGTTTAGGGTTTAGGGTTTAGGGTTTAGGGTTTAGGGTTTAGGGTTTAGGGTTTAGGGTTTAGGGTTTAGGGTTTAGGGTTTAGGCTTTAGGATTTAAGGTTTAGCGTTTAGGGTTTAGGGTTTAGGGTTTAGGGTTCAGGGTTCAGGGTTTAGGGTTTAGAACCCAAAAGACCGGCCGAAACTGTGCAAGTTCTTTCCGCCTTCGCGTAGCCCAGTTCCCAACCCAGCTGTCAGGCGCAGATACACTGTGCAGCCATGTGGAAGGTTGATCTGAATCATGTGCCCATGCTGAGGTGTCTAGAAGATTCTTTTTCGGGTTTAGGGTTTAGGGTTAGGGTTTAGGGTTAGGGTCTAGGGTCTAGGGTCTGGGGTCTGGGGTCTAGGGTTTAGGGTTTAGGGTTTAGGGTTTAGGGTTTAGGGTTTAGGGTTCAAGGGCATCTCGCGTATTCCTTTGGGTTCAGGTGTTCTAATTTACTCCTCCTGGCTGGGAGTGCCAACGGGGCCGCCCATCATTTAGCTCAACCTTCGTGCGCGTCGTCATTCGAAGAAGGGGGTCTTCGAGTGTGAAGGTGTGGGATTTCGGGCTTTAGGCTTTAGGGTTTAGGGTTTAGGGTTTAGGGTTTAGGGTTTAGGGTTTAGGGTTTAGGGTTTAGGGTTTAGGGTTTAGGGTACAGGTTTAGCGCCTCACTCAGGGTTTAGGGTTTAGGGCGGTTCCCTTCTAGCATGGCCCTGCGAAGTGTTGTGTAGTGGTGGAGGATATGGCCCCATTGTCGAGGGTGTTTCCTGGAATGCCGTGTTTCGCTGCTCCACTGCTAGCTAACTAATAGGATGCAGCATCGGCATCGCTTCCAAGCATGCTTGGAGGTGAGAAAACACAGCTCGCCTACAGGTAGAACAGCTCGTCGATGGATGTTGTGAGTGGCCCTGAGCTGTTCTCGCCAAGTTCTTCACACTTTTCTTCAATCCTTTTGTTCAGGATTCGCCTTGCATAGTCTCACAGGCATTGACAAAATGCGGTGCCTGTGGGGCGTGGAAGTGAATAATTCAAGCGATGCGTGAAAGTCTCACCCAACTTATGATCGCGCAAGCTGATGCCGGAGTGATGAATGCGGTAGTTGAACACCGTCCAAGTCACAGGTCGACCTACGACGGTGGCATCAGCTTGTATTGATGAGAATCCCCAGGCATACTCACATTGGGTGATGTTCAGGAAGGGTTTGCATGTCCATGCGCCGCACTGCAGGTCACACTGCACAGGGCAGACCTCGTCGAAACAGCAGTCCCAGGGGCAAGCCAGGACTCCGCAACTCACCTGCCTCTGCCTCTCGGGCCCGGATGCATCGGGACCTTTGGTTCGCTTCAGGGTTTAGTGCCTCGGAATGACTGATGCTTCTTCTGGCTCATGAAATGGACCCTGAAATTTGAACTTCCCCGCTTCTTATTCAGGGCAGTTTGGGCTTGGGCTGTTAAGCGACTGAGGCTGAGGCAGCGTCCACCCCGTGCAGGGCTCGTTATCACCGACCGGCGCTGTGTCATCACCCCGCCGCCGCAGGACTGGCTGCAGGGCCCGTCATCCATCCAGCCGCTGAGGACGCAATCCTCGGATGGCCCTTAAGACACGCTGAAAACATATTCACCTGAATAGGATCCTCTTAAACCCCACAAGGGAAAAATGTAAAAATGTCCCAAGGGCCTACCGAGAATCGCGACTTTGGAGGCTTGACATGGAAAGGTAAACGCCGAGAAAGATCGCCAGGATCAGAAAGAAGAAGACCAGCAGAAGTGCGCAGCACCAGCGCCTCACGTGTGGTTGCAGCGGCCTGCTATCAACAGAAGCTTCCTCGGAGCCGGACGGCAAAACTGTGCTGGAACACAAGGACGTGCCCGGGCCGACAAGCGCTTGGAAGACGCCCTCATCGGATTTCCCGCAAGTGAAGGTCTGAACCAGCTGCTTCATGTAGTGCAGGTTCTTTGAGTAGGACGCCACATCCTTGAAGACAAGGTTGTAGGTGTCTGCCAACGTCTGCCCTTCCGGCAGCCGCCTCTGCAGGCTGTAGGAGAAAGGACTGATCTGCGAGCCATTGCCGTCAAGCGCCCACTTGCCGGGAGCCGTGGCGTAGATCACGGTAAAGCTGCGGCTGAACTTGTGTTGCCCTGCACTGCCACAGCTCTCATGCCAACTTGCACTGGTCTCTGTGCGACAGTTGTCCAGCAGAATGAGCACAAAGGCATCCTCGGCCGTCGGCAAGTCCATCAACTGCTTGATCAGGTCGTACATGGAGATGCTGACATCATCACCGGGATCCATGCTGCCTTCTGGGATGCTTGCTGAGTGGCTCGTGAACAGGAGCCGTAAGGTCTTGTCCTTGGTCACCACTCCATGCCCACCAAAGTAGAAGGCAACGACGGACGTGGTACAGTCAACATTGCCGTTCAACTCCTCCACCTTCTCCTTCCATTCGCCACGGCTTCGGATGTTGAAGCCCTGCGCGACTTTGTACCCCAGCCTCTGGAAGGCTCCGCTCACGGCATTTGCGGAGCCCACGGGAGTCTGAAGCGAGGCCTCCGGGTACTGGTCGATGCCTATCCCAAGGAAGCATCGGTCGGGGCGCACCTCCTCCATAGCCTGTTTTGGCCCCCCCCTTCTTGGGCCCTCTCAGGGCCCCCCCTCCTCAGATCACTTGAGCCACCGAGGTGGATCTTGCTCAGCTTTTCGCACGCAGCCCTCAACACGCATACTTAGACCCTAAACATCCTAAACCCCAAACCCCAAACCCCAAACCCTAAACCCTAGACCCTAAACCCCCTAAACCCCCAAAACCCCCTAAACCCCCTAAACCCCCCTAAACCTGCGAATGCACCGGTGCCTCCATGCGACGTGGTCTTCTAGCTCTCCGCACCCGCCTTGGCCAAGTCTTGAGCCACCATCTTGGCCGTGATCCTGAGCGTTCAGGCTGTTTAAGGGTTTGGGTTTAGGGCTCAGGGATAAGGGTTTAGGGTTGGTTTAGGGTTTTTAGGGTTCAGGGTCTTCAGGGCTTAAGGGTTTAGAGCTTAAGGGTTTCGGAGGTTTTGGGTCTTGGCGCTGAAGGGTTTGGGTTCACGTTTCAGGCTCATCCTGAAGCATCCAAAGCCGGATTCAGCTAAACGAAACCCTGGACTCCAAAAGAGCTGAGGGCTCTTCTCGAGCCTTAGCGGCTTTTAGGGTCCCTAAACCCTGAACCCTCAGCTGTGTATCCTCAACTTTGAACCCTAAACACTAAACCCTAAACTTTAAACCCTAAACCCGAAACCCGGGCTTGCGAGCGAAGCCGAAGACCTAAACTTTAAACCCTAAGCCCGAAGCCCTAAACCCTGGGCGGGCTTGCGAGCGAAGCCGCGGGTGGTAGGTGGCCTTGGCTACAGCGAAGGCCGCCTTGGCCTTCTCCCTTCGGCCGGCCTGCTTGGCCCTGGGCCGCAACAAGGTCTAGGGTTTTGGGTTTAGGGCTTAGGGTTTAGGGCTTAGGGTTTAGGGTTTGGGGTTTAGGGTTTAGGGTTGAGGGTTTAGGGCTTCGGGTTGAGGCTTTAGGCTTCAGGCTTTAGGGGTCAGGGACTAGGGTTGAGGTGAAGGCTATGGGCTTGAGTGGCAGTGAACCAAGAAGCCTGGAAAAAACGAACAACGAAAAACATGAAGAGAAAAACAAATCTTAACTTGTTCCGGACTTAGAGTTTGGGAGGGGGTCGAGGCTAGTCGAAGAGTCTGAAGCCTTCACCAAATTTTGAAAACTGCCCCGGCAGATTCTTGCTGCGAGGGCGCAGCTCTCGATACAGGGGCCGCGTGAACTTCATGCGGCCGACCTGGGAGTGTGTTTAGGGCTCAGGGCTTAGGGTTTAGGGTTCTTCTTACAGGGTTTAGGGCTTAGAGTTTAGGGTTTAGGGTTAAGGACCTGAAGGCCTTGCAACAGCCACTTGTAATTCCTCCCGTCTTGGCCAGCCCACAAGAACGGCGCAGTTGGTGTTTTGTCCTGTCCCTTAAACCCTTTGAGGGTTTAGGGCTTCGGGGTTTCCTGGTTTTGGGTCCCCTAAACCACTAATCCCTAAACACTAAACCCCAAACCCTAAACCCTGAGCCCTAAACCCTAAACCGACAACCCTAAACCGTAACCCCCAGCCCCAACGCCCCTAAACCCGAAAAACCCTAAACCCTAAACCCTAACCCCTAGCCCCAAAGCCCCTAAACCCGAAAAACCCTAAACCCTAAAACCCTAAACCCTAAACCCTAAAACCCTAAACCCTAAACCCTAAACCCCTAAACCCCTAAAACCCTAAACCGTAAAGTTCAAGGCCTCCTTGGCCATGGCAATGGCGGCGTCGACTCTGGACTCGTCGCCGCAGACCTCGGCGGCTTCTCAACAGGAATGGTTTCGGGTTACTTAGGGTTTAGGGTTTAGGGTTTAGGGTTTAGGGTTTAGGGTTTAGGGTTTAGGGTTTAGGGTTTAGGGTTTAGGGTTTAGGGTTTAGGGTTTAGGGTTTAGGGTTTAAGGCCTAGCCGCAAACACGAAGCCACTCCACCCCCAAGCCCTTAAGCCCCAATCCCTAAACCCCTGAACCCTAAACGCCAAACCCTAAACCCCCCCCCCTTCCTTGAACTGCGACCCCTTGAACATGCGCTTGCCAGGCACAAGTCACCAAATTGGGGCTTAGACTTTGCGGGCTCAGGGCTTTAGGCTCCACCCTGGCCCACCCGCTCCACCTTCAGACCAATCCCAAACACTGGGTTTAGGGTCAAGGGTTTAGGGTTTAGGGTCAAGGGTTTAGGGTTTAGGGGTTAGGGTTTAGGGGTTTGGGGTTTAGGGTTAGAACCCAAACCTTACGTCCCGAAACCTCAGATCCCGGATACCCTGAACCCTACACCCTCATCACCCCAATCACAAGCCCCAATCCACGGAAAACCGTTTAGGGTTTAGGGTTTAGGGTTCAGGGTTGAGGATTGAGGGTTGAGGGTTGAGGGTTGAGGGTTTAGGGTTTCGGGTTTAGGGTTTAGGGTTTAGGGTTTAGGGTTTAGGGTTTAGGGGCTGACCCTTCTTCACCGCCGCCGGGGTTCCAGAGCCAGCATCAGCCACCTGAATCGAAGCTCTGAGTTTTTCGTCTGGTCCTTGGGGCTTGGCCGGTGGGGCGTTGGGTCTAGGCTTTAGGGCCTAGGATTCTTAAGATTTCGGGTGTTGGGTCAGGTTTTGGTTACTTGGGGCAACAGTTGAAGGGCTTCGCCTGTAGGATTTAGGGTCTTTCAGGGCTTAGGGCTTAGGGCTGAGGAACAGAATGTGCCAGAGCAGTTGATTCGTGATCCTACCTGAAACCCTAACCCCTCCTCAATCCCCTTGAACCGCGCTGCAAACTGATAAGCAGCATTCCACACATCGAGTTTGCTCTTCACCTTGCCAGGGGGGAGGGGGAGGGGCTTGAACGTCCACTTTGCATTGCTTTCCCGGCCATTGGGGTTCTGCCAAGGGGGCTTAGGGTTTGGGGCGCCTTAGAGCTTACGGTTTAAGGTTCAGAGGTTCAGAGGTTCAGAGTTTAGGATTCAGGGTTTAGTGTTTAGGGCATGCTGGCTCAGTATTTTTTGGGGTTTAGGGGCATGCTGGCTCTCGGCAAAGAAAGCCCCACCCCATCTCTGCCTCCTCGACCTGCTTCTTCTCGGCCTGCTCCCGCGCATGGTCGATGAGCCGATCCAAAAGCAACCTGGCCGCGTTCTTTTTCCGGCTCGTCTCAGGGCATTGGGAATCCCGCCCCTTCAAAACCCTGAAGCCCTGAACCCGAAACCTTAAACCCTTAACCCTAAACCCTAAACCTTAAACCCTAAACCCTAAACCCTAAACCCTTAACCCTAAACCCTTAACCCTTAAACCTAAACCCTAAACCCTGAAAACCCTGAAAACCCTGAAGCCAAACCTGAAAACCCTGAAACCCCTGAATGCAAACCCCCAAAACCCGAATGATGCCCTGCGGCGAGGCGCCAGTCTAGAAGACAGGCCCTGCCAATCCAGGCTTCACTTCAGGGGTTTCAGGGTTTAGGGTTTAGGGTTTAGGGTTTGGGGTTTAGGGTTTAGGGTTTAGGGTTTAGGGTTTAGGGTTTGGGGTTTAGGGTTTAGGTTTCAGGGTTTAGGGTTTCAGGGTTTCAGGGTTTAGGGTTTGGGGTTTCAGGGCGCAGGATTGCTTGGGGCCTTAGGATCGTTTAGGGTCTCGGGATTTAGGGTGCGAAGAAAACTGCCGGGCGGCAAGAGTCATCATCGGAGACTCTGACGGCATCTACATCCAGCATCCCTACACCCAGAGTCTGACTCAACCCCACCGAAACGCAACCCACACCTGGAACATCAACCTCCTGGCTCTGAAGGCCGCTAAACCCCTCAATACAGCCAGGGGGCTCAGTCTGAGCTGGAAACCATCCTGCAACCAGGGCTGCAAAAACCTCCCTCCAAACCTCCAACCCTACACCCGAAACCCGAAACCCTAAACCCTAAACCCTAAACCTAAGCCCTGAACCCTGAACCCTAAACCCAAACAGCTTAGGAAGTGCGTAGGCCACCCGAGCCAGGCTCCATTCGTTCAATCATTGCCCCCTTTATGAAAAGGATGAGTACGGCTACGGCCACGGGTGCCCTCAGTTTCGGTTGTTGAGGTTGGGGGCTTTTAGTTTCGGTTGTTGAAGATAGATTTTTTAAGCCTAAACCCTAAGCTTCAGGGTATAGGATTTAGGGTTGAGGATTTAGGGTTTAGGATTTAGGGTTTAGGGTTTAAGGTTGAAGGGTTAGGGTTAAGCCCTAAACCCTATGGCTGCCTTATCCCCCTGGCCTTTGATGTCCTCTGCGGCCCCATCATAGCCACCCAGCAGAGATGCGCAGAGGAGATCTACCTCGGTTGTTGGGGTTTAGGGTTTCGGGTTTCGGGTTAAGGGTTTAGGGTTCAGGGTTTAGGGTTCAGGGTTCAGGGTTCAGGGTTCAGGGTTTAGGGTGTGGGTTTTGGGTTTAGGGTTTAGGGTTTAGGGCCGTTTAGGGTTCAGCGTTTAGGGTTTAGGGTTTAGGGTTTAGGGTTTAGGGTTTAGGGTTTAGGGTTTAGGGTTTAGGGTTTAGGGTTTAGGGTTTAGGGTTTAGGGTTTAGGGTTTAGGGTTTAGGGTTTAGGGCGTGCCAAACGGGAGCGCGCTTTGGGAGCGCGCGGTAGTCTGCAGACCTACCCACCCCAAGACCGCCCACTTACAACTCTCAAGGAGTTAAGACCTTTTATTTTTTTACAAAGCATCACATGAGTCACTTGGGGATTTCCACAAGGTGCGTGGGCCAGGCGCAAAGCTGCAGCAGACGGAAACGAGGCAGGGCCCGTGAAGACAGCTTGGGTTGGCGCGAAGGGGCTATGAAGGGATGGGCGCCAGGAACAGACAAAGGCAGCGAGGCTTGGTTGGCGTGAAGGGGCTCCAGCCAGGAAGAACACACAGTGAACAGCTTGGGTTGGGCAGAGCGCCACGGAAACAGGGCTGGTGTGGCGGATAGCTTGGCTCGGCGCGAAGGGGGGGTGCCGGGCCAGGGTCAGGACCAGGCACAAAGTTGCAGCAAACGGAAGCGAGGCAGGACAGATTGGGTTGCGAAGGGGCTAAAGCCAGGGAGCACCCCGAAACAGGACACAAACTGGTGTGCGGACAGCTTGGCTTGGCGCAAGGGGGCAAGATGACTCGAACAGGCCAGCGGCCAGGGCCAGGGCCAGCCAGGGCCAGGCCCTTGCGGGTCAGGGGTCCAGGGCCAGGTTGAGGGCAGGCCAGGGCCCTGGTCCCCGCAGCCCAGCTCACGGGGGTTGGGGACCCAGGGGGCCTTCCCAGGGGCGTCCAATGCAGGAGCCAAGAATGTGCGCGGACAGCTTGGGGTTTAGGGTAACATAATATGATACAGTGACAACTGCTGTCTAGGCCTGTGCCTGCCTGGAGGGTAAGCCTGCCTGGAGGCCAGCTCGGTCGCCCGCCTGGGGCTCCCTCGCAGGGTCTCACTGAGCGCTCGACCAGCGCTGGGGTGGCGGGCGGGTTGGGTTTAGGGTTTAGGCCTTCGAGGGCCGCCCTTGTTTTAGGATTCCTGAACCTTTCAAACTTTCAGAAGCTCCACTGAAATGGGAAATCCCAGGAAATGCCACAAGGGCTAAGCTGGCTGCCCCCCCCCCAACTAAAGGTTAGGGTTGAGTTAGGGCTGTTTGGGGTGCCCTGGCGCGTCGTCGCTTGCACAACCCTGCAACCTCCAAAAACCCGTACCAGATCCCCAAAACCCTAAACCCCTAAACCCCTCAACCCTTAAACCCCTAAACCCCTAAACCCCTAAACCCTTAAACCCCTAAACCCCCTAAACCCCCTAAACCCCCTAAACCCTAAACCCCTAACCCCTAAACCCCCTAAACCCCCTAAACCACAACCCCCTAACCCCTAAACCCCCTAAACCCCCTAAACCCCCTCAACCCCTCAACCCCCTAAGCCCTAAACCCCTAAACCCCTAAACCCCTAAACCCCTAAACCCCTAAACCCCTAAACCCCTAAACCCCTAAACCCCCTAAACCCCCTAAACCCCCTAAACCCCCTAAACCCCTAAACCTAAACCCATCAGAACGTTCGCTGCCTAAGAATTGCGTTCCATTCAGAAGAGCATTGTCAAATACTCCCCTAAACCCCAACCCCCTAACCCCTCAACCCTAAACCCTAAACCTCTAAACCCTAAACCCTAAACCCCTAAACCCCCTCAAACCCCTCAAACCCCCTTAAACCCAAGTAGCCTCCTTGGCCAGGCGCGAGTCCACCTCTGGCATTGGCGGCAGCCCGCAGCCGTAGAACCTGCTTGCTATTGGTTTAGGGTTTAGGGTTTAGGGTTTAGGGTTTAGGGTTTAGGGTTTAGGGTTTAGGGTTTAGGGTTTAGGGTTTAGGGTTTTGGGTTTTGGGTTTTGGGTTTTGGGTTTAGGTTTAGGGTTTAGGGTTTAGGGTTTAGGGTTTAGGGTTTAGGGTTTAGGGTTTAGGGTTTAGGGTTTAGGGTTTAGGGTTTAGGGTTTAGGGTTTAGGGTTTAGGGTTTAGGGTTTGGGGTGATAGGGTTTAGGGTTTAGGGTGATAGGGTCTAGGGTTTAGGGTTTAGGGTTTAGGGTTTAGGGTTTAGGGTTTAGGGTTTAGGGCTTGGGTTTGGGAAATGAGGGAAGGAGGTATGAAATCCCTTAAAGGGCATATATAGGGGCATATAGGGTACCTCATTCCCTCATTCCCCACTAACCAACAAGCCTGGGGCTCTCGAGGCACAAACCCTAACCGCTAGGGATTCTACTATGCAGGACTGCCAGTATAAGGGGGAACATCCCAACTTCAGGGTGTCAGGTTTAGAGCTCAGGTGCGAAGAGAATCGCGCATGCGTGACAGCATTGGAAAGCCGTGAAGACCCTTTTTGGGTCTTGACGTCTTCAGGGCAGCTTCGACCCGCTGGACAGAAAACCCCAAAAAACAATCCTACCTACATCCCCAAACCCTGAACTCAACAATCCAGGGAGCCCATTCCTCGACTCCTTAGGACCACATCCGGGATCTGAACCCTGAACCCTGAAACGTACAGTCTTGACCCCGGCTACAAAGCCCGAACCCTCCCCAAACATCCCAAACATCCCAAACATCCCGGAACCCCGAACCCGAATCCCGAAACCCTAAACCCTAAACCCTATCACCCTAAACCCTAAACCCTAAACCCTATCACCCTGTCACCCTAAACCCTAAACCCTAAACCCTAAACCCTAAACCCTAAACCCTAAACCCTAAACCCTAAACCCTAAACCCTAAACCGCAACTCTTGAAACAAGTCTGGGCACCAGGTGTTCCAGTCCACGCCCTGGACCGCAGGCCTTTAGCGGAGCCATCTGGTTGGCTTTCGGGTTTTGGGATTACGGCTTGAGGCTTAAGGTTTAGGATTCAGGGTTTAGGGGTGTAGGGTTTAGGGTTTAAGGTTCAGGGTTTGGGGTTTAGGGTTTGGGGTTTGGGTCTTGGGGCTTGGGGCTTGGGGTTTGGGGCTTGGGGCTTGGGGCTTGGGGCTTGGGGCTTGGGGCTTGGGGCTTGGGGCTTGGGGCTTGGGGCTTGGGGTTTGGGGTTTGGGGTTCGGGGCTTGGCTTAAGGTTCAAGGTTTAGAGTGTCATCGAATTAGGGTTCCTTTTGTTTTTGTTGCTTTTCTTCTTTTTTTGGGGAGGGGGGGGGGAGGGGGGTTGGGGAACTTGGCATCAGGAGCTGTCCAAGGGGCATAAATACTCCCTGGAAGTTGGAAGAAAATCCGAATCTGGCGTTTTTGGTACCTTTAAGGGACCCCACAACTGCTGGCCAGCAGCTCACCAGCAAAGTGCTCCAAGAAGAAGCTCTTGAAGTCCTTCTCATCTAAGCAGCCGCCGGTGAAGCGCTTGACGTGCGCGCGGAGGTAGGCCTCGAAGCGCTCCTCACCGAGCTCGGAGCCGTTCCCCTTAAACTAACAGCTCCTTGATAGGGATTAAAATGGGGGGGTACCATAAATACTATTCAGGCCTGTTAGTAAAAGGGGGACACATCCCAAGCTTCTACGACTACTGGCTTGGTCGCACATGCCCTCGACTGATGCCGAAAAGCAGAAAACAAAGTCTTCACGACCGAACGCTCAAAGAGAAAGAGGGGGAGCTTTACGAAAGCAAGGGACCCCTCATATGGACCCCAAATACTAGGACTCCTCGTTTGAATCAGGACCCCAAGAAGGTACCCCCCTAATTTCGGAAACCCCTAAACCCCAAACCCTAAACCCTAAACCCTAAACCCTAAACCCTAAACCTAAACCCTAAACCCCCCCAAATTTCCGAAACCTCAGATGGGCTCCTGCCCCACGAGGCTCTCGAGGTGCAGAAGCATCATCTGGCCCTTCCTGAGTGCCAAGTGGGGGTTGAAACCCTCGACCTCACCCGGTTAAGGCTTCAGGGCTCAAACCCAAAAGAACCTCAGCGCCTGAATCCCTAAACCCGAAACCCTTAACCCCAAACCCTAACCCCAAACCCTAAACCCTCGCTAATTGCCCTAAACCCCGTGACCTCCGCGGAATCCTCGCGAACTTCTCGCCAAGGCTCACGTAGGGGATGCCGCTGAAAGCATCGTCCGGGTCAACGCCAGGCAGGCGCGGACCTGAGGTTTAGTGTTTAAGGTTTAGGGTTTAGGGTTTAGGGTTGGGGGTTTGGGGGGTTTGGGGCTTTGGGGCTTCGGGGGTTTGGGGGTTTGGGGGTTTGGGGGTTTGGGGGTTTGGGGGTCTGGGGTTTTGAGGGTTTGAGGGTTGAGGGCTTGGAACCCGAAACCCTGACAACCCTTTAGAAAAATCCTGCAAAAGAAAACCTGAAAAACCCTAAAGAACCCTGCGGATGGGACTTGGGTGTAAGGTGTAAGCTTTAAGGTTTAGGGCGCTTGCTGCCGCCAGTCACACAGCTTCGTGAACTCGTGGCCGGTGCCAAAAAGGGCCACGTCCTCCTTCAGCTTGAGGCACAGATTCCGCAGCAGGAGCTGCTCGTAGTCCTTGCCGTGCATATTCTGCATGATGCGGCACTCCCCAAATTTGGTGAAGCCCTCGTTGAGCCAAAAGCACTCCCAACTTCGGTTGGTACAGAGGTTCCCGAACCAGCTGTGTGTAATCTCATGGGCCACCACATCCGCCAGGGACTTGTCCCCAGCCAACAGGGTCGGCGTCACAAATGTGAGGCAAGGATTCTCCATACCGCCATATGGGAAGGAGGGCGGCAACACCAGCAAGTCATAGACGCCCCAAACATACTCCCCGAAAAGCTTCTCGCCAATGCTCATGAACTTGTCCGTGTCAGAGAACTCCTAGCAGAAGTTCTGGCTGGAACTGTATTCGCTCTTTATCTACCAAGCTAAGCTGGACCTAAGACAGAAAGAGCGCTTGAACACCCGTAAGCCAGCACCAAAATCCTCAAACCCTACGCCCGGACCCTTCTAAGCCCTCCAAGCCCCGGGGAGCCCCCCGAAGCCATCGGCGAGGTGCAAAGGCACAGGCTTCGATGGCCTCGGGCTCACTCCAGACGTGGCTTCGCCTCGCGGGGGCTGAGGATATGGATTTGGCCTGAACCCTGAACCTTGAACCCTAACTAACCCCTAGAGCATGAAAAATATTAAAGCAATATTAAACTAAAACACTTTGGAATTAAAGGGGAAATATGGAGGGTCTGGGCTTTCGACTCAATCCTAACCCCGCCCCCAACTCCAGAAAAGTGCACCCTCCGAAGGGGGAAAGAAGACACCTTCAACCCTAAACGCTCAACCCCAAACCTTACACCAAAACAAGCCCTGCACCCTTAACCCTACAACCCCAAGCCCTCAACCCTCAACCTGTCAGTTGGGAGGCTGGCCGATTTTCCGGCTGACGAGGTTGCCACAGGCAATGGCCAGCAAGTAGGATGGGATAGGCACTTTCCTCAGCTGGGTGGCTAAGGTAGGACCTGGGTTCAGAGTTTAGGGTTGCAAGCTTAGGGCAAAGGGTTTAGGGCTAAAGCTGGGGGTTGTAGGGTTTAGTTTATGTGTGTTCAAATCATTGTACAACTGTTTTGAGACAACTAAGAAAAGAAGCAGACAAATACTTGCGCTGTAAACTTGCGCTCTAACTTGCGATTTCATGTGCTGTTGCTCCCCTCTTGTCATTGTGTGTGTGTGTCAAAAAAAGAATGCGCACCCCGAAGATCCAGAACTCAACACTTCAACCCTCAATCCTGAACCGTAAATCCTAAACCCTAAACCCTAAACCCTAAACCCTAAACCTAAATCCTAAACCCTAAATCCTAAACCCTAGACCCTGAACCCTAAACCCTAAAACCCCTCAAAAGGATGCCCCAGGCTCTGCGTAAAGGCGAAACGCCGCTTCCCACCCTCCACGCTCTCGGGCTCACCTGCTTTTGAGGAGAACATACAGGATCGTTGTGATCCCTAAGCCTTAAACCTTTAACCCTAAGCCCTAAACCCTAAATCCTAAACCCTAAATCCTAAACCCTAGCCCTAAACCCTAAACCCCCAAAAGATTGGAATCCCTTCCCCACCTTCCGAGACGGCAGACATGAGCACCGTCAGCGGCGCCGGTGCCGTGATCTTCGCCTCGCTGAGGGTTCTTGGGTTCTTGGGTTTTTGGGTTAGGGTTTAGGGTTTAGGGTTTAGGGTTTAGGGTTTAGGGTTTAGGGTTTAGGGTTTAGGGTTTAGGGTTTAGGGTTTAGGGTTTAGGGTTTAGGGTTTAGGGTTCTTGGGTTCGTGGGTTCTTGGGTTCTTGGGTTCGTGGGTTCTTGGGTTCGTGGGTTCGTGGGTTCTTGGGTTCGTGGGTTCTTGGGTTCGTGGGTTCTTGGGTTCGTGGGTTCTTGGGTTCGTGGGTTCTTGGGTTCGTGGGTTCTTGGGTTCGTGGGTTCTTGGGTTCGTGGGTTCTTGGGTTCGTGGGTTCTTGGGTTCGTGGGTTCTTGGGTTCGTGGGTTCTTGGGTTCTTGGGTTCGTGGGTTCTTGGGTTCTTGGGTTCTTGGGTTCTTGGGTTCGTGGGTTCTTGGGTTCGTGGGTTCTTGGGTTCGTGGGTTCTTGGGTTCTTGGGTTCTTGGGTTCGTGGGTTCTTGGGTTCGTGGGTTCGTGGGTTCTTGGGTTCGTGGGTTCTTGGGTTCGTGGGGTTCTTGGGTTCGTGGGTTCTTGGGTTCGTGGGTTCGTGGGTTCTTGGGTTCGTGGGTTCTTGGGTTCGTGGGTTCTTGGGTTCGTGGGTTCTTGGGTTCGTGGGTTCTTGGGTTCGTGGGTTCTTGGGTTCTTGGGTTCGTGGGTTCGTGGGTTCTTGGGTTCGTGGGTTCTTGGGTTCGTGGGTTCTTGGGTTCTTGGGTTCGTGGGTTCGTGGGTTCTTGGGTTCGTGGGTTCGTGGGTTCGTGGGTTCTTGGGTTCTTGGGTTCTTGGGTTCGTGGGTTCTTGGGTTCGTGGGTTCTTGGGTTCTTGTGGGTTCTTTCTTGGGTTCGTGGGTTCTTGGGTTCGTGGGTTCTTGGGTTCGTGGGTTCTTGGGTTCGTGGGTTCTTGGGTTCGTGGGTTCTTGGGTTCTTGGGTGGGTTCGTGGGTTCTTGGGTTCGTGGGTTCTTGGGTTCGTGGGTTCTTGGGTTCGTGGGTTCTTGGGTTCGTGGGTTCTTGGGTTCTTGGGTTCGTGGGTTCTTGGGTTCGTGGGTTCGTGGGTTCTTGGGTTCGTGGGTTCTTGGGTTCGTGGGTTCTTGGGTTCGTGGGTTCTTGGGTTCGTGGGTTCTTGGGTTCGTGGGTTCTTGGGTTCGTGGGTTCTTGGGTTCGTGGGTTCTTGGGTTCGTGGGTTCTTGGGTTCGTGGGTTCTTGGGTTCGTGGGTTCTTGGGTTCTTGTTCTTGGGTTCGTGGGTTCTTGGGTTCGTGGGTTCTTGGGTTCGTGGGTTCTTGGGTTCGTGGGTTCTTGGGTTCGTGGGTTCTTGGGTTCGTGGGTTCTTGGGTTCGTGGGTTCTTGGGTTCGTGGGTTCTTGGGTTCGTGGGTTCTTGGGTTCTTGAGTTCTTGGGTTCTTGGGTTTAGGGTTTAGGGTTTAGGGTTTAGGGTTTAGGGTTTAGGGTTTAGGGTTTAGGGTTTGGGGTTTAGGGTTTAGTGGGTTCCGGTTTGAGGCTCGAGTTTGTGCTGAAAAGCCATTTGACGCGCAACCATGCCCTGCGAAAGGCTGGGATTGTAGACTGCCCAGACCGAACACTCGGCTCAATGCTTCGAACCTGAACCCCTAAACCCTGAAACCCTAAACCCTAAACCCTAAACCCTAAACCCTAGGCCCGAAACCCTGAACCCTAAACCCTAAACCCTAGGCCCGAAGCCCTGAACCCCAAGCCCCATTTAAATCTCAGTGTTGCAGTGCTTTGGGGACAATGGGAGTTCCAGCTGCAAAGACCCTCGGCGGACGGTTTAGGGTTTAGGGTTCAGGGTTCTAGGGCTTAGGGTTTGAAATTGTGTAGGGTTTAGGGTTCAGGGTTCTAGGGTTTAGGGTTTAGGTGTTTCGGGTTTCGGGTTTAGGGCTTCGGCCTTGTAGGAGCTCTTTACTCCAGGCGTATCTTGGCAGGGCATCAGGCACCGCGCGTGGATCGCCTGGGAAGCAGCAGCCCCTGAAACCCTCAGCCACCCCAAATCCCCTCAACCCTAAACCCTAAACCCTAAACCCTTCACAAAGTCGGCATCTCAACTGCGGGGCCCCGTTAGTTTAGGAGTTTGAGGGTTCAGCTTGTGGAGTTCTCTACGGTTTGAGGTTCCCATTCTTCTACTTTTAGGGTACCCAGCAAGGCTTAGGGCTGTTGGGGTGTAGGGTTTAACGGTCTAGGGTTGAGGCCTCAGGGTTTAGGGTTTAGGGTTTAGGGTTTAGGGTTTAGGGTTTAGGGTTTAGGGTTTGGGGTTTGGGGTTTAGGGTTTAGGGTACCGTGGAGAATGCGCCACAACTGTCCTTCCCTGTCTACGGAGCCTGGCACTGCGTGAAGAGGTAGGGGTGTTGCTTCCCCATCGTCTGCTCTGGGGAGAGAATCTGCACTGCCACCGCATCCTTGCGTGCTACGTGCATTACCGAGGGCTAGGCCAACAACAAACAACATTAGGGCTTAGGGCTTAGGGTTTAGGGTTTGGGGTTTTAGGGTTTCGGGTTTAGGGTTAAGGGTTAAGGGCTAGGGTTAAGGGTTAACGGTTAACGGTTAAGGGTTAAGGGTTAAGGGTTAAGGGTTAAGGGTTAAGGGTTAAGGGTTAAGGGTTAAGGGTACCATCAACCACGCCCTTCCTTTCCACATCACCCTCACCAGCACTTCACCACCACCACCATAAGCTAAACCCTAAACCTTCAAACCTAAACCCTAAACCCTAAAACCCTAAACCCTAAACCCTGCACCCCGTCGCTATCCCAGGGTCTGGCGCAGTCGAATACTCCACGCGAATGGAAGCTGTCTCCTGTCGGGTGGCGATGCGGGCTCGTGAACCCTGAGCATCAAACCCACCCTACACTTAAACCCGAAACCCTGAACCCTAAACTCTCCCTTGACCCCAAGATGCCTCAACCTAACCGCCTTCCTCCCCGAAGTCCCCGACAACCACATGGGGTTGGATCTAGGTAATGGACCTTTCTCGGGCCTCCACTGCTGCGTATTCCTTCCGGTCCATGCAGCCCTTGAAGCCAAAGAAAAACCCTAACCCAAAAGCCTATAGAGCCTGAAAGCTCAGAAAACCCTCAACCCCTCAACACCCCCAGAAGCACTCCAAAACCCACAAAGCCCCCGAAACCTTAAAAACTTGAACGCCCTAAAGACCCAAAACCCTAAAACCTTAATTAACACCCTATAACCCCCAAAACCTTGAACCCCTAAGCCCCTTCAACCCCTCCCCGGAATCCCACAAAAGTGGTTCAAAGAGCCCCCAGAGCCCTAAACCCTAAACCCTAAACCCTAAACAGCCTTGGCTGCCAGCGGCTTGGGGAAGTAGATCTCCAACGCTTCACCCAGCGCCTCGGACTTGCGACCTCGGCTCTTTTCAGGGGTTTAGGGTTTAGGGTTTGGGGTTTAGGGTTTAGGGTTGAGGGTTGAGGGTTGAGGGTTGAGGGTTGAGGGTTTAGGGTTTAGGGTTGAGGGCCTGTGGGTGGCGCAGTGGGTCTAGGGCCCAGGGATGGGAGGGTTTAGGGTTTAGGGTTTAAGGGTTTAAGGGTTTAAGGGTTTAAGGGTTTAAGGGTTTAAGGGTTTAAGGGTTTAAGGGTTTAAGGGTTTAAGGGTTTAGGGCTTTAAGGGTTTAAGGGTGTAAGGGTTTAAGGGTTTAAGGGTTTAAGGGTTTAAGGGTGTAAGGGTTTAAGGGTTTTAGGGTTTGGGGGGAGGGGCTGCGGGTTCGAGGGGTGTGGGGAATGAAGTTCAGGGACTTGAGGGGCTTAGTTGCCCTAAACCCTAAACCCTAAACCCTAAACCCTAAACCCTAAACCCTAAACCCTAAACCCTAAACCCTAAACCCTAAACCCTAAACCCTAAACCCTACACAATTTCGGGTTTCAAGCTCCACCCTCAAAACAAGCCGTGCCGCCCTTGCTCCCCACTTCCCACTGCAGCGTCTCCGAGCCAAGGAAGGCGCCCGTCACGGCGAGCCCCCGGGTGTCCAGGACTACCTTTTTGGAGGGTCTAGGGTTTAGGGTTTAGGGTTTAGGGTTTAGGGTTTGGGGTTTAGGGTTTAGGGTTTAGGGTTTAGGGTTTAGGGTTTAGGGTTTAGGGTTTACAGTTTAGGGTTTAAGGTGTTCGGGGTGCAAGGTATGTGAAAAACCTAGAAAATGAACGACCCTCAATCTCAACCCTTGAACCCAACCCCCCTTAAACCCGAGACCCTAAACCCCAAACCCTAAACCCTAAACCCTAAACCCCCTACAACCCCAAACCCCAAAACCCGACATCCAAGCCACAGAGTTGCTCGACTCCAGACCACGCACGTGCAGCAGGATGGAGCCCCTCAGCACCCCTTTGTCGAAGTCGATTCTTGGGTCGAGTCGGCGTATTTAGGACTTAGGGTGGTAGGGTTTAGGGCTTAGGGTGGTAGAGTTTGGGGTTTAGGGTTTAGGGGTTTAAGGAGGGTTGAGGGTGTAGGGTTTACAGTTTACATTTTAGGCCGGTAGGGTTTAGGGTTTCGGGTGGTAGGGTTTGGTGGGATAGGGTGTTAAAGGTTTCGGGCTTTTGGTTCCAAAAGGTTGGGGGATGAGGTTTAGGAGGCCCAAACAGCGTCCCAAGCGTCTCCTGGTCGAGGTCGTAGCTCTCCACCACCACTTGGTCGAAGTTGCCTGACCCTGGGATTAACCTTTAAAGGCAGGCTTTACTCTTTAACACCAGGGATCAGCGTGCTTAAGGCTCCAAGCTCAGAAGGGGCAGGGCAGCACCTCCCGTGCAACTGCTACGCAACAGAATCTAGATCCTACCTGCAAAACCCTCAATCCCGGGAACCTTCGAAAGCTCTTCGGAACTAATCTTGGTCCGGCGGGGAGGGCCTAAACCCATTGAATCGAAGTTGCTGCCATAAAGGAATACCCGGAGGTATGGCGAGACCACAACGCAAAAGTTCACGTTTCTTCGGCCCCAACTTTAAGTATGTCAGGGTCGCAAAACTCCGGCGAAACAGCCCCGAGCAGGAAAGCGTGCAAAACTGCGATCAAGGCACTAGCCAAAAAACAACCTAAGCCCTGAACCCTGAAACCCTTGAATTGAAAGACTTTGCGGAGCCTCTGTCCCAACAAAGGAACGGGTATTTTCTGGGAACCTTGCGGCAACTGTAAGATCCTGAAAGAGAAAGACTGACAAAAGGGGCTAGGGCCTATTTATGAGATTTTTTTCTGGCAGCCATGCGCATGCAAGAGCTCTGGCGCATCTTTTGAACGGGGCAGCGTGTCGGCGCTGATTCCAGGAAAGACAGGAGGTTAGGGTCCTTGCCTAACATGTGATTAAGTCCTAGGAAGTCCGCACGGTCATCGTCGGTACTAATGGAGTTTACCCTCATGTATTCCTTGAGTACGGGTAAAGCACCTCTGTGTGGAGGTTTGGTGAACCTAACTCTATCCTTGACTCCTGGTGAATATACCAAATGATGAACCCGATTATTGGGCGGTGTAGCCAAGGTGTGGGCCAATTGGCGTAGCGGTGCAGAAGTGAGGATTTGGGATGGGAGCGTGGTCGGCCAGCTAGTACCCAGACTTTTTGAATAGAGATGTGGGAATAAACAGAATCCTTGATCCCTAGCGCTATCAAGTCCGTTTAGAAGGGTTGGAAGTATGGTGGCGTGGAAGATTCTGTCTTTAGTTTAATAGTTTTTAGGGTTTAGGGTTTAGGGTTTAGGGTTGAGGGTTTAGGGTTCAGGGTTTAGGGTTCAGGGTTTAGGGTTTAGGGTTTAGGGTTGCCTCCCTCAGCCGGAGCCGGCTTGGCAGGCTTGAGTTCGGCTGGCTCTGGTTTTTGACTCGTACTTGGGCGGTCTTCGGGAGCATGTCCTCAACGCTACACGCTAAACCCTCAGCCCTCAACCCTCAACCCTAAAGCCTCAACCCTAAACCCTAAACCCTAAACCCTAAACCCTGGGCGGCCGAGAGGCTGTAGCTGCCGGGATCTGGGTAAGGCCACGGGGCTGTCAGCGTCGCAGCAAGGCGCGGAGCTGCCCGGCCACCCACCTCCCCCACACAAACTCTCTGACTTTATAGGGTTTAGGGTTTAGGGTTTAGGGTTTGGGGGTTTAGGGCTTAGGGCTTAGGGCTTAGGGCTTAGGGCTTAGGGCTTAGGGCCTAGGGCCCAAACAAGCTCTCTGACTTTATAGGGTTTATAGGGTTTATAGGGTTTATAGGGTTTATAGGGTGTATAGGGTGTATAGGGTGTTAGGGTTTATAGGTTTTTTTGGGGTTTATAGGGTTTATAGGGTTTATAGGGTTTATAGGGTTTATAGGGTTTATAGGGTTTATAGGGTTTATAGGGTTTATAGGGTTTATAGGGTTTATAGGGTTTATAGGGTTTACAGTTTAGGGTTTTTAGGGTTTAGGGTTTAGGCCTTCGGGTTTAGGGCTTAGGGCTTTGGGCCTAGGGCTTAGGCCGGGCTTAGGGCTTAGGGTTTAGGGTTTAGGGCTAGGGGTTTGGGTTTAGGGTTAAGACACGCCCCCCTGGTTCTTAGTAGGGATGACAGAATGAGGGAATGATGGCCCTATATAGACGCTTTAGAGAATTACCTGGGGATTTCCCCTCCTCTTTCACCCGCCAGAAGCTCTCTGTACTGAGGATGGATTGTTGCGCACTGGGTTTAGCAGGGCAGTTTAAGGTTAAGCCCTCAAACCCAAAACCCAAAACCCAGAACCCAAAACCCTAAACCTTTTGGGGCGTTGTTTGGAGGGCTCAACATCCCCCAAGCTGTTTGTGAGCCCTGGCGCCTCCGGGAAGGACGTCTCCAGGTGCGAAATCTTCGCCAGGCCTTGCTTCTCGATCGTGCGGGCGACGTCGGCCACGATGGAGGCGGCTGAGCCGGCGCCTGGAGCTGGAGGTTTAGGGTTAAGGGGTTTAGGGCAGTTTAGGGGTTTAGGGCAGTTTAGGGGTTTAGGGGGTTTAGGGGTTAGGGGGTGAGGGGTGAGGGGTTTAGGGTTTAGGGTTTATAGACAATGTATGGGGTTTGGGTCCCAATAACGTTTTGACCGAAAGTTTTGACCGAAACGTTTGACCGAAAGTGTTGACCGAAAGTTTTGACCGAAACGGTTTGATTTTTAAAACTATTTCAAGTTTTTGGGAGGGGGGAGGGGGGTGAGGGAATGGGGCCCATTTGGGGGGGAGATCTGGGGGGGGAGATCTGGGGAGAGCTGGAGGGAGATCTGGGTGGGAGGAGAGGGGGCGGGAGATCGGGGGCTGGGGAGATCTGGAGATGGGGGAGATCTGGGAAGAGATCTGGGGAGATGTGCGGGGGAGATCTGGGGGAGATCTGGGGAGATCCGGCGGGGCGAGAATCTGGGGGAGATCTGGGGGGAGATCTGCGGGCAGATTGGGGGGAGATCTTGGGGGAGATCTGGGGACGGAGATTGTGAGGATGGGAAGGGAGGAGTAGGGGAGGGGGGGAGGGGGGAGGAGGGAGGGGAGAGGAGGGAGGGGAGAGGAGGGGAGGAGGTTTAAGTAAATTGAGCATTTGGCCTCAGAAGTGTTTTGGCGTAGCTTGTCAGCTGTTTAGACAAATAACTTGAAAATTCAGAATGAGACCACATACAATTTCTATGTATTTTGTCTTGAGGGTTGAGAGTTTAGGGTTTAGGGTTTAGGTTTTGGGTTTAGGGTTTAAGGTTTGGGTTTCGGGTTTAAAGTGTTTAGGGTATAGGGTTTAGGGTTTAGGATTTAGGCTTTATAAGGTTTAGGGTTTAGGGTTTGGTGCGGGGTTTGGGAGAGTTGGGTTGAAGGTTTGAGCCTATAGTACACTCCATGAACCCGAAACCCACAACCCCAAACCCCCAGCCAAACCCCAAGCCCCAAACCCTAAACCCCAAACCCTAAACCCTAAACCCCAAACCCTAAACCCCAAACCCTAAACCCTAAACCCTAAACGCTACTAACCCTTTTTGCCCTTCAGGGCGCCGCTGAGAACGATGGAGGGAACTGGGGGCTTGTCCGCTGTGCCACGCAAGAAGGTCGCAGCGGCCCGAAGATAGAAGCCGGTTCCCTTCTTCGACGTGACTTTCCTGGGGTCAAAGCTTGGGGTTTAGGGTTTAGGGTTTAGGGTTTAGGGTTTAGGGTTTAGGGTTTAGGGTTTAGGGTTTAGGGTTTAGGGTGCAGGGCTTAGGGCCGAGTTTGGGGTGTCAGTGGTTTTTTAGGGGTTTGCTCTAACATAGAGATGTTGAAGAGGGAATCCTGCGACAGAAGGGGTGCCTTTGAATACGTGGTCTCACCCTTGCAAAGCCAGCCTTACGTCTTCGGTTTCAGGGTTCAAGGATGAGGGTTTAGGGGGGCATACCCCTTTCAGGTCACAGATGTCCCATTCTCCGCTGATTCATCCTGGCCACTATACTCTAGCTGAAACCCTAAGCTCCTGATTCCCACAAGCACGGTGGGTTGTGTGGGGTTTAGGGCTTGCTGCTTGCCTGGATTCTGGGTCCCCCCCGAAACAAACCCCAAATCCGAAGCCGGCGGGACATCTCCAGGTCTCGCCAAGGCTCAACTCCATCGTTCCACGGAGGAGTCCAAAATGCCAGCGAGCGGGGGCAGATTAGATTTGTGTATCGTAACGTTGAAGCTAATTCTGGTATGCCAATGGTGGCATTCTGATGACCCCGCCCCCCCCCCCAAGAACCTCCGCCGGATCGCTGCCTTGTGTGCGCTTTGGGCGTTGGCTAGCTCGAACACTTGCAAATCGCACAATGCTCAAGCGGAAGCTTGCTCCTGATCCTAAACCCTAAGCCCTAAGCCCTGAACCCTGAACCCTGAACCCTGAACCCTGAACCCTGAACCCTAAGCCATGAAGCTCCGATGCTGTAAACAACCTGGAGCCACAGATTGGGGATGCAGACAATGGCAGACCTCTGAAATGGGCTAAGGACGTATACTCTTGTATATTCTTGTATATTCTTGTATATTATTGTATATTCTTGTATATTCTTGTATCTTCTTGTCTATTCTTGTCTATTCTGGTATATTCTGGTATATTCTTGCATATTCTTGTATATTCTGTATATTCTAACATTCTGAAATAAGATTGTATTAGATTGCAACATTTTGCCGCACATTGTCACATATGATGAGCAACGTGCGGTGTGGGGCGTGGCTTCTCACACGACCGATGGGCTTGCGCGTGCTCGCAGTGAAGGCGCCCTCAACGCGGCCGCGAGGCTTGTGAGAATGGGGATCCTTGGGCGAGTTGGGGAATCATCGATGCCGCTCACTTCTCGTGGTTTGGGTACCGTCTCATGGCAAGAAACCTCAATGGCCGCTTCCGACTGGGCGACCCTGGCCTTGGAAACGTGGCGGCCTCTGGGCGGCAAGGGAGCGGCGTGGGCAGCTGCAGCTATTGCTGCCCAGATCTGAACAACGACGGCCTGGCATGCTGTTGCAATGGTGAGGACACTGTCGCGACGTCGCGGCAGGTGATGGGCTTTGCTTTTCAATTGGAGAACATCTTCACGCATTGTGAGGGTCCAAATGACCTTCATGGGCTCAGTCTGCCGCCATTTCTCATCTACAACAACTTGTTGTGCATGATGGTATGTTCGCCTCGGCTTCCAGCCGCTTCTCGAAAAACCGAAAAGTTTCTGTTCCCCCCCACCCCCTGCCCTGGACCCCCCGGACCTGTGGGACCTGCCCAAACCGCTTGGAGGTGCCAATGCGATCAGGCTGTGTGCGCTCCTCTTACGGGGACCACGCCAAAAAGACAAGGACCTGAAATTTTCCGCCCCTGTGGGCCGGCCCGGCTGCCGAGGCGGCGCGCGCAAGCATTTACAACTATAGTGCAATTATGGGTATGCTTCAATTTCTTGCATTGTGTAGGCATCCGATGAGATTTCTCGAGATGCAGGACGAAGCATGGGCTTAGCGCCATATGTGCCAACTTGCTGTATCACGTGATCCGACAAAAGAATTGAACACCAATGTCATACAAATTATCATGATATATATATAGAGAGAGAGACAGAGAGAGAAATATAGAAATGTTTCTGCACACACACACACACACACACATATATATATATATATATATCTATATACACATGTGGCATGGACCTTTACGTATTATTTGGCGATCCCTTTCGTTTCTTATTTAAACAATGACTGTGCAATTATCAGATATAGAGTATGATTTAATGTTTGTTGTTCCAAGTTTCAAGTTTCAAGCAACTCTTTGCAAAAGGGCTTGGGGTTTAGGATTTACGGTAGCCCACGTACCATATGATAAACATCTCGGCGCCCAGACCGGAACCATCAAGAATAGGTCAGTCATTTCTCTTTCGTCCTTGTTTCTCTAGCGTGTTCCGTGAAGACACAAAGAAAGGAAGTGTGATGACAAAGGAATATACGTGGAGATGGACATGTCGAATTCTTCATAGTCGTGGCTTTCCCTCTCTGCCTTCCTTTGTTTGACCCTTCTTCTCTATTCTTTTTGCCTTCATCTTTGACCAGCACGATCGAAAGGGAAAGGGAACATGCCACTTCCTCTCGATGTGGTTCTCTCTCTCTCCTTTCCTTCCCTCTTGCGATGTATCTCTTGTCCTCCCTCTCTCTCTCTCTCTCTCTCTCTCTCTCTCTCTCTCTCTCTCTCTCTCTCTCTCTCTCTCTCTCTCTCTCTCTCTCTCTCTCTCTCTCTCTCTCTCTCTCTCTCTCTCTCTCTCTGCTCTCTCTGCCATCTCTTGCTCTCTCATCCCTCCCCTCTCCTATATTGTTTCCTCCCCTCTTTTCCATTTCTGCAAAGAGTAAGGAACAGCATAGAACAGAAAGGAAGAGATAAGATGGAGGAAGATGGTGGAATGGTGAACTCCTCCTGCGCTCGGCTCCCTCGCTTTCTCTTCCTTTGCCGTCCTTCCTCTTCTCTTCTCCCTGTTCTCTTCATGAAAAAAGAATGAAGCGAACGGAGATCTCAGAGAAAGCAAGAGGCCCTCGCTCTCATCATCTTTGCTTCCTCGTCTTCATTGCTCGCTTCATCTCTCTCTCTCTCTCTCTCTCTCTCTCTCTCTCTCTCTCCCTCTGTCACTCTCTCTCTCTCTCTCTCTCTCTCTCTCTATCTCTCTTCCTCCCTCTCTACTTCTGCAATATCCCTTTTCCGCTTCTCTTTCCCGCTTCTTACCTTTGACTTGACGTTTATCTTTCTCCCACTCTTCCTCTCCCTTCTCTTCCCCTCCCTTTTCTCCCTCTTCCCTTTCTCAGTCAGAAGGACGATGCACAAGGAAGAAGGGAATAAGGGAAAAGACAAGAGAAAGAGAGAGCGAATCCGATAATGGCAGAAGGAGAACAAGGGCAAGAAAGAAAGACCGAAAGAAAGAGAGAAAGAAAGAGAGAAAGTTAGAGAAAGTAAGAGAGAGAGAGAGAGAGAGAGAGAAAAAAAAAAACAAAAAAAGAGAGAGGGGAGGGTGGGATGAAAAGAGGAGGAGATGAAGATTGCAGCAGGGCCTTGTCCTCCGCCTCTGTTCATCCTTGTTCTTCCCTCCTGTCTCATTGGTGAAAACCCAATACGAGCTTGCGTGGGAAGACAAAGGAGAAGAGGATTGGTAGCCGCGAGATTCGGAGGAGGAGTTCTCCTCTTCAATCACTCTCTGTCCTTCCTTTCAGCTCTCATTCATCCTCCTTGCTTTGCCATCTCTTGCGCTATCATCCCTCCCCTCTCCTCTTTCCTTCCTCACCTCCTTTCCATTTCTGCAAAGAGTGAGGAATAACAGAGAACAGAAAGGAAGAGACAAGACGGAGGAAGACGGTGGGGAGAGGAAGGGTGAACTCCTCCTTCGCCCGGCTCTCTCGCTTTTTCTTCCGTTGCCTTCTTCATCTTCTTTTCTCCCTGTTCTCTGCGTAAGAAAGGAATGAAAGGAGCGGAGAGCTCAGGGCAAGCAAGAGGCCTCGCTCTCATCATCTTTTCTTTTCTTGTCTTCGTTGCTCTCTTCATCCCTCTCCCTCTCTCCCTCCCTCCCTCCCTCTCTACTGCTGGAAGCAGACAAGGGAGTAAAGGAAAAGACAAGAGAAAAAGAAGCGAATCCGAGAACGGTAGAAGGAGAACAAGAGCCAGGGAAAGAAAGACAGAAAGAAAGGGAGCAAGCAAAAGAGAAAGAGAAAAGGGAAAAGAGAATAGGGAGAGAGAGAGAGAGAGAGAGAGAGAGAGAGAGAGAGAGAGAGAGAGACAGAGAGAGAGGGAGGGGGGAGGGGATGAAAAAGCAGCAGGGCCTTGTCCTCCGCCTCTGTTCATTCCTTGTTCTTCTCTCACGTTTCATAAGTGATAAACCAAGACGAGCTGCGTTGGAAGAAAAAGGAGAAGAGGACTGGTAGCCGCGAGATTCGGAGGAAGAGTTCTCCTATTCACTCGCCTTCTGTCCTTCCTCTCACCTCTCTGCCACTCTCCTTCTTTCATATTCTTTCCTTTCTGGCGAAGAGCTCAGGCGAAGAAGGTACGCAGAAAAATAGAAACAGATCCCGGAAAGGTGAGAACAATACAAAGAACCTATAGAAAGAAGAGAGAGAGGGAAAGTTTCAAGCCCAGCGGAAGAAGAAGAGAAAGAGAGACAGACAGAGAGATAGAGAGAGAGAGAGAGAGAGAGAGAGAGAGAGAGAGAGAGAGAGAGAGAGAGAGAGAGAGAGAGAGAGAGCGAGAGAGAGACCCTCCCTCCCAGCTCGCCATGAGACATTGCCTCTCCTCCCCTCCCCTCGCCTCTTCCTTTCCTCACAAAGAGGGACAGATCTTGGTCCTCCGGACCCGTTGGGCGCTTCCGGGTGAGTTGAGGCGACGGGCAAACTCCTCCTCACTCTGCCGCTCCTTTGTTTGTCACCCCCCCTCTCCTCTTCCCTTCCTCCCCTCCTCTCAACAACATTCTTCGAAGAATAAGGAAAGAACAGAACGAGAGGGACGAGAGAAGATGGAGGAAGACGGCGGGCAGAAGAAAGTTTGTTTTGCTCCTTCGCTCGGCTCTCTCTTGCTTTCCCTTCTCTTGCCATATTCTTCTCTTCTTCTTTTTGCATAAGAAAGGAGAACTGCAAGGAACAGAGAGCTCAGGGCAAGCAAGAGGCCCGCTCTCTCATCATCTCCTCCTTTCTCGTTGTTGTTGTTTCTCTCCATCTCTTCTTCTTCTGAGCATATGATCCCCGAAGGACCGCCCCTGAGCGGCATGCGTTTAGAACTTTCCCCCACCCCTGGTATGTTGCGGGGGTGACGCTGCAAACGGAAAAGCCAACATTGGGCTACGGGTGTGTACAGAACCACGAGCGAGGCTTTTTCTCATCCCGTTTTGTGTCTCAGCCTCCAGGCCTCCCGGGAGCCTCCCGAATGTCGGGGCCTTCAAGGCTTGTAGAATGTCCTGGGGCAAGAGCTTCCAGCAGCACCCATTGCCTCTCCTCCCCTCCCCTCCTCCTCTCGCCTCTTCCTTTCCTTACAGTGAGAGACAGCAAGACATTGAGAAAAGAGATGGCAGAAGAGGGCAAAAACGAAATGTAAGACAAAGCCAAATGAAAGGGAGGAAGTCCTTCTTCTTCTGCCTACCT